AAGAAAGACGGCGTAAACACGTCATGTAGCACTATTATGACAGTTCTGTCTTTTTTCTGCAGTTATGATACTTAGAGTTGCCCAATTTATTTTCCCATGCCATTTTCCCTGATTAGTGAGCACACCTTATGTTTTTATATTTTTTCCAACTTTCATTTAATATTTCCATAGAATATTTGAAACCTATACAATAACAAACTGCTAATCACGGGGGCAAATTCAAGTCTTTGCCTGAAGGCCCTTTTCAGTTAATCTTTTAGAGAGAATAATATCGCAAGTCCGCTTTACGAGTGAAACAATCAACAGAAAATGTTTACATTCCTAATTCCTGACATTCATTCTATTGAAAATATAAAAAAATGTTGCAATGTTCTCTTTTTGGAATTGAATTCAATGGTAATGTTTTATAGCAATTCTAATTTCATTTATATAAGCATTCCATTATTTATTCAATTTTAGAAATGATAAACAAAACATATTTACAATGTTTACTTATGAGTAGTTATGCGTCATGGTAGAAACAGGGCTTCCATGAATATGAATGTCCAGGATATTATTACCTCCGTCCATACACGTCATAGCGCATTTCCCAGCCGGCTGGTAGTGGCTCCTCAGCAGGGTTGGCATAGACAACCGGCAGGCCAGACGCAGCAGGTTCAGGCTCGGCGTGGGACGGACCGGCACCGCCGTCCACGGCCGCGGCCGCGCCGCCCACCACGTTAGCGCTCATCGCCCCGCTCACGCCACTCGTTCCACTCGGCCCACCATGCTGCAATGTGCCGTTGCTTAACGGCGGCGGGCCCGGTGGAGGCTATATGTATAAAATGAAGAATTTATGAGTAAAGTTATTAAAATCATTAATTACCACAAAATTAAATTTAGGCTTAACATACTCGAAGATTTTGGGAGCGTACAATAGATCTCATTGCAGATTCATTGTTTCGAATTCTAATTCTTGCCCTCACTCCATCATTAAGAGGGCCGCTGGTGTTGGTAGATTCTCCAAGTATTTCACGTGACTGACTTAGAACTGATGGATCTACTCGTAGTCCATCTAGAAGTACCACCAATTCGGCTGCTTTTACTTCACCACTTACAGTAGACGAGTTTTCTTGGGACACGGTTTTCATCAAGTCTGTAATTAATATAGAAGAAAAATTAGGCGTAGAGTATTATGACTGGAGAATGTGTGAGACATCACAAACAAAACAAAGTGTTCATATTCAAAGCCACGACGAGTTTTACAAAAGGTATAAACATGTTTTTTTTTCAAACACAATAATATCACAATTTATGAAATCAGGAAACTACTATTATGGTCAAAATAATCCCCTTACCCATGATTTTGTATAAATCAGTACATTTTTTTACTACAAACACATTTTTATGCTTACAAAGCAATCATAAATTTCTCACAGAAGTATGAGCTGTGATAAAAACCATAAATAATAAGAAGTAATATTTACCTATAATCAACTCCACATTATCACACTTTCCATTGCAATATAGCAACACTTTTAGCAAATTTACTCTTTTTTCACCAATTATATTATCTTTTCTGAAACTATGGTAATCCGCAAGCCGGAACAATAGTTGGGACTGTGGTGTTACAAGCACTGTTAGGTCTTCCTTCCATTTTGGGTGTAAAGTACTCTTTATAACTTCAGTGCGTCTTGATATTTTGTCATCTATTATCACTTGTAAATATGGATTTGGTTTGAAAAGTCCAGAATTCTTGATATTAGCTGATTCAACTGAGGGATTTAAAAAAAAATGTTTATCATAATTCAAAAATGAACATACATAATTATGTGAGAAGTATTTATGTAAGAAGTAAAAATATCTTTTATTACCTGTAAGACTGAGTTGATGATATGTTGACAAGGAGATTGGTGTTGTTAAAGCTGGTACTGTTTCAGTCATTGTGATTTATTGATCAGTTCATATTATTATAGTATTAGCATTATAGTTTATGATTTGTTCACCTAAAATAAAGATAATAATAATTATTAGGATTAGGACTATGTTTTGCTAAACTTCAATTTTCCATTGACCATTCCCAATGACCTATTTGGCTCCCATGACTCAACTAGTATGTAACAGTTTTGTGATTACTAATAATCAGATTATCCTATATCTACACTAAATTATTACAGATCTATGTTGAATCTATGAAAATATTTGCTCATCATTTTCTAAATAACACTTATGCAATAATTGTCAACAAATGCGATACAAGGAATAGGTATGGTATTTTTAAAAGCTTAAGCAGCCTCCATAATAACTTATATTCATTTACTCACATACTGCCCAAAAGTCAGGAGCTTATTCATAATTAATTTTATAACAAGATTATTGTATTACATAAAATAGATGAGATTGAAGTAAATTGTAAAATAGTGTAATGTTATAATCAATGACAATTATTGCAAAATAAACAGTAATGAAAGTATGTAATCAAGGATATTTAGTGATGCGTAAATTGTAAATTCAGTATTACAAAAGATATTACCATTAATGAGGCGATCCAAAGGATAGGAGTCCTTCAAATTATCTCATATCGTTGTTCTTATCTTGCTGAAAAGAAATACACAAATAATGTTGTATCGTCACAGAACATTCATAACGCGAACATAAACTTGTATCATGCACTTTAGTATCACCAAAACTGTTTGAAAGCTTAAAAATATTAATAATAACAAATTACTTCAGGGGGCTGGTGATAAAATTGAATTTTTAGATTGATTAGAAATATTAATTTCCTGAAATTAGTCACTGCACTGTTGAGTCTTGAGTGTTGTGTTCACAGAGTACAATAATTTAATAGAGTTTTGTCTTGTCTCCGGTAGTGATGTCTCGTTCCCCCTTTGGTCACAACTTCTCAAGTGTCTCTTCTATTTAGTAATAGTAACTATGGTTTAGTTGGTCGTTCGAATAATACATTTTTTATGGAATATGCTTTTTTTCTTGAAGTTTTGAAAGTCGTATCGGTTTAAATGGTTCAGTAAAAATGGTTTTGTATTATTGATAACTATATAACATAGATACGAAATGACTGTCTATGCGCAGAAAATTCAGCAGCTGCAGCTGTAGCCAAATGTCATATAACGCTTGTCTACTTGTAGATTATTTTTTTTTTATATAGAATGCGAATGTTGGAGGAACCACAGAGCATGTAATTATGGATGAATTATGGAGGAACTATAAACATTAAAACTATGGTAACACCCAACGAAAGTACGATAAATCGGTTGAATGTTATCAGCTGTGACTGTGATCGAGCTTGGTTTTGCGATTCATTTTTTGGGAATTTAAATGAATAAAGACTCTTCCAGAGTTCATCAAACATACAAAAGAACAATTCGAGGTGGAGCTCGACTGATTTTATTTCCAGTGCAAAGTGATTTTCAATAGAACAAGAAACTGGACTTTTTATCAAACGTAGATTATGTTTTCGCTGGAGCAGTGGCTCTGATGGATAGGATTCGTATTATTGTTTATACTTTATCTGCCAGAAGTGAAAAACTTACAACATAAACGATTTTAAGTAAAAAATAAGGCTTATTTACGTTGCACATCCATTTATAGGTTAGTTTTGGATTATGGTAGGTAGTTACGACCTGTGGCGCCCTCATTGATTTTCATCAATAAATAGACAATCTGTACTTAGTATTTATACATTTTAAGAATCTATCTGAAAATCACCCATCTTTAATCTTGACGACATTCTGTTGTTTCTGAGTCATTTAAGTTTCTCTATCTAAACAAAAAAAGAACACAACGTCGTGACTTTAATGTTACCAAACTACCTATTTGCGGTCAATTTCTCATTACAAAATACAGCTCTATCTGGTAAGTGTTGAAGTTTTTATAAAAAAAATCCCTTGGAATCCCTATTGTTTTTGTGCTGAAGTGGAATAAAGATCAATATTTTTTTTCTCTTAAAAGATACCGCAATGCAGTGTAATTGGATGTTGATGTTCATTACTCAATCCTGGTGTAAGCACAGAATAGATATCGCTAATTTGAAGTCGTCGACTGTAGCAAATTAAAACTCAAAGCTAAATAAATAAAAATCAATGAACATTTATCGATAAACCAATTAAAAACAGTAAAAATTCACAACAAAAATAGTTATATTCAATTATAGTGTACCTATATTCAAATGTTTTTTTAATATTTAAAAATTAGTAAAAAGATAAATAAAGTAAATAGTAGTTATAACTACTATTTTTCTACATCCCTAATTCAAGAGGTATTTTGTAATACTGATTATGATTAAGCACATTTTTTTCATCTGTACTGATTATTGCAGATCCATTGGGTTTGTTGTATCAGTGGAAACAGCTGACGTGTTTGACAGACCGAGTAGTGACAGCAAATAACAGATAATCAAGGACATTCCATCCCATCTGACATTGACATTTGACATGTAGGTAGCTAAAAGATTGAAAAACAGCTTCGTTTCGTTTGTATTGATTTTTCTAATAGGTAGGTATCTTCCTATTTGCTCATAGAAAAAAGATTAGCAGTTTTATAAATTCATTCCAGGTACGTAAATAGTCTTCTACATGGATCGAAATTTAATTTATTAACGTAAGAAGATCACATGCTATATAAAATCATATAGAAAATGTAGAAAATATTGATTAAATGATGTCATGAATTCCTATGGTGTTATTTGGAAATGTATGCTTTATCCTTATATTTTAATAATTAGGATTCAAATTTAAATGGTGTGTTACGAATTACTCTTCAAATAACAATGAAGTATATCTTCGCACTAATACCATTATGTGTTTTAAGCAATTTAGACCTTCTATAGTTATGAAATATTCAAAGATTGCCTTGACTTTCTAAATTCGTGGTTAATCCTCTGATGTGAATTTTACAGGCAATATTAATATTTTCTATATTGTATTATTATTTAATACACTAATTATTTTATATATTACGTTTCACATTTTTATTATTATGTTTCAGTTCAATTTCTTCTAAGGATGAGTCCGGTCGAGAGTGTACCAGTTGCTGTATTGAATTGCATTGATGACTATGTGGAATTACTTTACGATGATATACCAGAAAAAATTAAAGGATCTGCTTTGATACTGCAACTTGCTAGAAATCCTGATAATTTGATAGAGCTGGCTCGAAATGGTGAGTTATATATTAACTAACTATACTAATAATTAAATTACCTTTCAAGTTGAAATGTGGAGGGTTTTTTTACAAGGACTGTAATTAAACTTGTGTTGTTACCAAGAGACCCAAAATAGTCTTTGTTCATTACCACAATTACTTAAATATCATCAAGGCATGAAATGAATGAGGAAATCTTTTAGGTTTGTTGACTTACTCCGTTGAATACAGACTTTTTCTAGTGCAATAATTTTAATGTAAATGTTTATATTTGAAATGTTAAGTACTGGTATGATTCTTAGGTACTTAAAAAATCTTGGTGAAAAAACAGTCACTCTTAATAAAGTTACCTATACTTATAACTGCTGAAAAGTGTGTATTACAATGTGCATTGTGCACCTCTTCTTCATTCTTTGGGAAAGAAAAGTGTGATATTTTGTTGTATTAAAATTATAATAAATATGATTTCAGAGGCATTACTTAGTGCTCTTTCAAGAGTTCTAAGGGAAGAATGGAAAAGGAGCATTGAACTCAGCACAAATATAGTCTACACTTTCTTTTGTTTTTCAACATATAATGAATTTCATCCAGTTATTATTCAATATAAAATTGGATCTTTATGTATGGATGTTATTGACTATGAACTAAAAAGATATGATCAATGGAAAGAGAAAGTTGAAGGAAAAAAACAAGTGGTTACACCTGATAAGGTATTTATTTGAAAGAAGTCTGTGTAAATTTTTAGTACATGTACCAGAACAAAGACTTACATAAATATATTACTTTTATTTTTAATATTTATTGTTTTAGAGTGAGCTACCAAAAAGTCGCATTCCAGAACCAAAACGTCGTCCAAAATCAGGCACTTGGGCTGTTGCTGATGTAAATATGCAGAAATCTAGATCTTTAGTATCTAGCTACCATGAAGACCTTTGCAGTGCCTCTGATGAATTTTTATCTAAGAGTGATGAAGAACAAATGAAGCGCAAATTGAAAACACTGTCAAAGCGCCAAGAGCAGCTGTTAAGAGTAGCTTTCTACATGTTACTGAACATAGCAGATAATGTTAAAGTTGAAGAAAAAATGCACAAGAAAGATATTGTTGGACTACTTATCGGCGCCATGGAGCGACATTCGAACATAGATCTCCTTATACTTATAGTATCATTTCTACAAAAACTTTCCATTTTCGTTGAAAATAAAACAAGTATGGCCTCTAGAGGAATTGTCGAAAAATTGGCACCATTGTTGGATTCATCTAATGCTGATTTAGTTAATGTCACCTTAAAACTTTTGTTCAATTTAACTTTTGATACTAAATTGCGTAACAAAATGATAAAATTAGGCCTACTACCAAAATTCATACAATTTACAAGTATGTAGCAAAATTTTAATTCATTTGCAGTATCAATTGACATTTATTATGTTTACTTTACAATAAAAAATAAAAATGTTGCAGGTGACGACAAACACATTAATTTGGCAATGAAAATTCTATACCATTTGAGTATGGATGACAGAGTAAAATTGATGTTTACACAATCAGACTGTGTTAAACTGGTAAGAATTGATTTATCTACATAAAATTGATAGTTTTTCATTTGCAACAGTAAAGTTAATACTATAATTACATAGCTGACAGATATGTTGCTGCTGAACGTGAACGGAGAGAGCGGCAATAGCAGCGGCAGCGCGGGCACCACGGACGTGTTGCTGGCGCTGTGCATCAACCTCGCGTGGTGCGAGCGCGCCGCCAACCAGATGGCCGCCGAGGGCCGTCTGCGTGACCTGCTCGCACGTGCCTTTCGGCATCGTAACGCTATGCTTATGAAGCTTGTGCGAAACTTATCTCATCACACTCAGAATAAAGGCCTATTTGTTGTAAGTACTTACCTCACCACCTCGTTATCTATATACATACAGGTGTCCCTAATGTCGTCATCCAATCGAAACGAGGTGATAGGCAAAATTACAACAGTTAGAAAATATATAAGTATAAAAATTCAAAACTTTGTACTTTACAAATTACAGTGATTTATCATTTATGTGTTAAGTACACCATGTAATAGTTTTTTAACTCCTGTTGCGTTAATATTTTGTTTCTTACGTTATTCTTAGTGGAGCTTTAGTAATATGAATTGTATTAAACTGAAATTGTAAGTCAACTACTTCAATTTTCAATTTAGTCGAGCGGTGTATGTGCGTTAGGTATGTATCTACGGATTTCATAGAGGTCAATGCGACATGAGATCTGCTTCACCGCCTACCGCGGCGGTACGCGGTACCGTGTTTAATCTCCGATTCCTTGTTTAGCAACATTATCAAATCAAATCAAATATGTTTATTGCTGAACACAGTACATTTAGATGCATTTCAAGATGTTAGATGAATGCGCAGTTCATCATGTTCCACCAATCAAGGCATGCAATTATTAGTCTTGCATTGTCTCTCTATTGTGATTTCACTCACAAAATTTGTCGGCAGTATTGTCGCCAGAGGAACAAGTGATGCGAATTACTGGAGGCTGAGTCACCCTCGTCCGTAGGAGAGCACCCCTAAATCAATATCCCTACACGCGGCCTCTGGGTGGTGCTAACCAGGTGACACTTTGGTGGTAGGCTTCGGCCGCCAGCTTTATGACCACCCATCGAGCAAAAGCGTGTCGCCAAGCGGCCCAGCCGTGTTCCGCCACGATGCTCGGTGACGCCGTATGAGAGGATGGGTCGAGATGGTTGTTCCATTGTAGGATAGCCGGTCTGACGCGCGCTGGTGTAGCTACACCGGGTGTCCAGTCGCGGAGGGTAGCGGGATCCGAGGCACGGTGCACCGCTGGCCGACCGCAGATAGTTGGGGGCCCAACTAGCGTGCTAGCCACACGTGAAAGGCTGCCCCGCCATCTAGCGAAAAATCCCATGGATACGCCATCGTGCCGGTTGGCGACCGGAGGAGAGGGCCCGATGGATATTCGTGGGGGGGCCCGGGCGTCCCCGCAGTCTCCAGACTGGCCTCCCAATGGTGTGGTTAACTACGGTGCGCGTCGAGGGGTCGCCTGCGTGGGGGACCATTTCACTGCCATCCTCTCAGCAACCTTCCACTCTACATTATGACACTGAGAAATAAGAAAAGGGTTCAACAGCGGCTGCACTCCCTCTCCTTCAAAGTGCACCTCTCAAATATTCGAGGTTTGCACTCTAATGTCAATGCGGTCCATCACCACCTCGAGACCGAGAACCCTACACTCTTGTTTCTCTCGGAGACCCAGATCAGGTGCCCGTCGGACGTATCCTACCTGAACTATCCTGGTTTTTCCCTGGAGCACAATTTTGTTCCGCATGCAGGTGTATGCGCATACGTCCGAGACGGCATCTGTTACCGGTGTCTCCGAAACCTTGAAGACCCAAGCTTTTCTGCTCTCTGGATACTGGTAGACATAGGCATGGAGAAAATTCTTTATGCCTGTATCTATCGGTCGCACAGCGGAGATTTGGAGGCGACCAGATTAGCGCAATACCTCGGCGAAGCGGCGGATGCGGCTCGTCAGGCGTACCCTTCGGCCCAGTTGGTGTTACTGGGGGACTTTAACGCTCATCATCAGGAGCGGTTATTCCCATACCAGTGCACCGACCATGCTGGAAGGGAAATGCGTAAGCTTGCGCTTTCGCTTGGCCTGACCCAGCTGGTCCAGGAAGCCACAGCCACAGGGTGCCCGATGTCGATACGCACACTGCCAATTGCTTAGACCTTCTGCTGACAACTGATCCAAACCGCTACTCGGTGACAGTCTCATCACCTCTAGGTAGCTCTGACCACTGTCTGGTGAAATCTGTATCGACACACTCCCCACCAGATCCGAGTCCCAGAGGACCTCGGCGGATGTGGCGATACAAGTCAGCGGACTGGGATGGGATGCGATCTTTTTTCGCTTCCTATCCTTGGCGGCCTGTCTGCTTCTCTTCTGATGACCCGTCAGCTTGAGCGGAAGCCGTAACAGGGGTGCTGCGCCAGGCGGCTACATCATTGGCGGTCCTAATTTTATTTTTAGCGCTGCCTTTATTCTGCTTGCACGTGGGTCGCGTCTCCTGTCTGTAACCTAGTGCTCTTGCTTACCCACAATACCAGAAAAGTTTCAAAAACGTTACTGGTGCCTTTAGGGGGAGGGGGTACTCTCGCTTTTACACGTCGTCGAAGACAACACAAGCTATTTTTCACGTCGGGTTCTTATGAAACCATGGTATCACTCCAGTCGCGTCGGCGCATTCATGCCGAAGCGTGGCACACCGTGTAAAATCTTTGAGAACATCTACGTCACCCTATTTCCTAAACTACTTTAAAATATGACAGGTGGCAGTCTCCTCTTCGCATAGTGAAGATTATTTGTATTGATTTTGTAGTAGATACTTGGTTTGATTTTCCATTTATCCAGCCATTCTCTTAATTTAATGTGAAAATATTTTGAATATTTAGTTCATCAAAATATTTAAACTGAAACAGTTAACAGATTAAGTAAAGATGTGTAGCACAACAGTTAAAAACAGCAACACTAAGATGAGTTTTTATATTTTGTAATAACTTTTTTCTGTGACTTTTCGAATCGCCTGGTGCCGGTTCGACGTGGGATTTAGGGCTACTAACAATTATCATGACAGAAATAAAATGCCTTAAACTTTATATTTTATTTGGTAAATATCTTATTTACAGGAGTTTGTTGGCGATATCGCAGGAGCTGTCACTAATAGTGATGCTAGTGAAGATTTCATCATCGAATGTTTAGGAACCCTGAACAATATTCTAAATACCAACAACAATATTGATATTTACGCAGTCGTCGAACGATACAATTTAATCCCTCGCATTATGAAAATTTTAGATCCAGGTAATAATTGCCTATACACATATTATCGTAGTTAAATGAAGCCAGAGGCTAAACAGCGGTGTGTGTGTCGATGTCGCGCAGAGAACGCGGCGGACGCGGAGCTGGTGGTGGAGGGCGTGGTGGCGGCGGGCGCGCTCAGCGCGGACGAGCGCGCGGCCGCCGCCCTGCTGCGCGCGGGCGCGGCGCAGGCGCTCGTGGCCCTGCTGCGCCTGCGCCAGGCCGACGACGACCACGTGCTGCAGACAGTGTTCGCCTTCCGCCAGCTACTCTCGCACCCGCGCGCCGCTGACTACCTCGTCTCGCGCACAGGTTCCGATTCTATTGCTTTTTAAAATATCCTACCTTGTTTAATGGAAAGAAACCTAGACGACGGATCTCTTACAAGTGTAAGCTATGTACGGCCTTGATAAATATAATCGTAGAAGTGTACATTCATTGATCAATTTATTTTAATGAGGCAGTGAATATGTAGATACTATGTTTGTAGATAAATATGAATCTGAAAAACAATTGGGTGGGGCTTACCGAATTGTCTTCTAAGCGCTGAAAAGTGGACCGTAAAATATCTCACTAGTATATTTGAAAACGTTTGCAACTTGATAGAACAGCTCCGCATTTGCACGGTTCTTACTAAGAACGTGAGATAATGGTGTGTTATCTCATCATGACTGATAACCAAGTCGCCGAATGATGCGGTCAACTTAAGGGGTGTAAAAAGGTGCGTCACTACGTACGAAGCGAGTCCTTTTTTATAGTGTTTGCAAGTTATTGATTATCAATGGTGAGATAAAAAATACACTAAGTTATGTTTGATTTATGAATATATTAAATTCTACAAATGAAGGTTTAACTGGTTAATACTAAAAGATGATTTGATTTGATTTGTACGAGTAGACCGGCGATTGCGTACTACTATTGAACGTAAAATTCGATGCCTTTTATAAAAGTGTTTGTACGTAAAATGCTGAGCTGTTCGGTTGCGTTGCTCCGAACAAGGGGTAAAGCGAGGTTCGGTTTGTTTAGGCTCAAAAATGTACTTATTATCTATTTCAATAATACGATAAAAGCTTTTCTCAAAAAAGTACATATATTGTAACATAGCTTTGGTTTAGTAAATAGTAACCTGTAATTCTAATTTAATTTCTGTGGTACGTTATGTGTGACGTTTTTGTTTTGTGCAGAAGCTCCAGCGTATCTTATTGATCTGATGCAAGATAAGAATGCGGAGATAAGGAAAATGTGCGACAATTGCCTTGACATAATTTCTCAGATGCAAAATGAATGGGCAGTCAGAATAAAGGTATGATAAGTGACCTATATAGTATAGTAAAACCCAGTTTCTTAAAGACTTGTCAAATCAATAATCCACTGCCACATATCCATGGTGATCAAATCAAATGACTTATACTCCGTAATTTAGGGAAGGCTCCCCATATATGGATCTGAAATGTGGGGTGTTTATAGGAATCGAACCTGAGGTAACTTAGCCCATACGACCGTTCGTAGTGTTATATAAAATGTAAACTACCAAGTTGGACGTGTTCCTCCGTTTTCCCCTTTGGGAAATAAGAGACGTGAAGTGAATGACTACAGTTTCTGTACTGCTATTAGTAGTCGTCCCATCGTCACTTGTCACTCCAACTGAAACTTAACTTAAACACTAGCATGTATTAGCTCTTTACCATTCTTTGGAATTTTAAACATGGCTTTTCCAATGTTTAATGACAAAATGTTAATTTTTAAAAAATAACTGCCTCGTTGGCCGAGTGGTCGCAATTGCGACTGCCGGGTAAGGGGTCTCGGGTTCGATTCCCGGGTCGGGCAAAGTATTACTGGGTTTTTTAAAAATTCTCAGTAGTAGCACGGAGTCTGGAACTGTGCCCGGTATATGGCAATAGGCTCACCCCCTATTACATGGGACTCATAACATAAATAGTGAAAAGTGGGTGTTACATTGTACAGTGGTATAATGTGCACCTCTTGCCTACCCCTTCGAGGATAAAAGGCGTGATGTTATGTTATGTTGTTAATTTTTCTATTTTAGGTGGAAAGATTCCGTTGCCACAACGGCCAATGGCTGTCCGTTGTCGAGACACTTGGCGCTGAAGGTGGCACTGGAGATGCGGCTGATGACTTGCCACCATATTTGTCTGCCGAGTACCTAACCACTCATCGTCTTACTACTTCCGGTAATATATCTGTCGTCGATAGAAATGGCAGTCAAAAACTGCACAGTATCACGGGTTCGATTGTTGCACGTACTACATAATTTTATTTGAATACGTTGGCCCTAAAAAATCTGAAACCTCATCACGTCAGTCCCTATGTTTCGGCGTTTCTTAGAATCGGTAACAAATGCTAACCTCGTTCGTGTACCTAGAAGATTATGTAATACCAGCGGACCCGACAGACGTTGTCCTGCATATCCGCTTGAATGTATAAACAAAAATTCATTCAAATTAGTTCAGCCGTTTAGGATAACTAACCTAGACATCGACTGCAGCGCCATCTGCCGGGCTGATTTCTGAATATAAACCATCCAGGGCGCCACTCAAACGCGTACAGAACGTTGAACGTTGTCCTGCATATCCACTTGAATGTATGAACAAAAATAAAAACTGCGTTTAAAAAACCGACTTCAAAAAACCAAAAACCAAAAACTAAGAACAAACAAAAAGTCAAAACTAAAAAGCAAAAAATAAATATCATTAGTACTGATAGGTTACCCCCCCCCCCCCACTGATAGGTAAGAAGTCGGTGCCATAAGTTCAATACAAAATTATTCATTAAAACCTTAATGGGTACCTAATTCACAATTTTGTGGACATTAAGTATATCATTATGATATGAGCTTATGGCACCGACTTCTAACCTATCAGTGGGGGGGGGGGGTAACCTATCAGTACTAATGATATTTATTTTTTGCTTTTTAGTTTTGACTTTTTGTTTGTTCTTAGTTTTTGGTTTTTGGTTTTTTGAAGTCGGTTTTTTAAACGCAGTTTTTATTTTATTATTTTATCATTTTCAGTGTAAAGCTACATATACCCGTTTTGTTACTTATAATATATATAGGTGTAAAGTCCTCATCAATACAAATTAATCAAGCCCAAACACAAGGTAGTTACAGTATATCGTTGAGGAGTTCCCTCGACTGTCTGTCGACTCCATCATCAGGTCGACTCCAAACCCATATGAAATTGTAGTGTTTAAAAATCGTAATTGAAAAACATAATAGACGCATTACTCCTCCATAGAATTTTCGAAAGTTCCCCTCGGTTTCCCTAGGATCCCATCATCAGATCCTGACTTCATGGAAATGGGACCATCTCGGGAGTACCCTTTCAAACAAAACAAGAATTTTTGAAATCGGTTCACAAACGGCGGAGTACTGCGCGAACAAACAAAAAAAAAAAAAAAAACAGTCAGCCGAACATAGTACCTCCTCCTTTTTTTGAAGTCGGTAAAAATTCATTCAAATTAGTTCAGCCGTTTAGGATTACCAACCTAGACACCGACTGCATCGGAGTCGCGGAGAACCTAACGGGGAACCGGGGCTCCGGCTCGACGTGCAGGAGAAGGAACGGGGTGGTTTTTAGACAGTAAGAGTCTGACACTCCCTCCCGCCTCACCCAGGCGGGAGCAGTCATTCGATGATTTTCCCCCCTTAAAAAAAACACACCGACTGCAGCACCATCTGGCGGGCTGATTTGTGAATCTAAACCATTCCCAGATCCCCTTGAACACACACAAAAAATTTCATCAAAATCGGTCCAGTCGTTTAAGAGAAGTTCAGTGACATACACACTCACATAAGAATTATAGAAGGTTTTGTGATATTAATCACGAAAAAATAATTAAAAAAAAAGCTACCGTTCTAAAGTTATTCCACTATTTGTGTTACACGTAAACAGCCTAATATGCGCGCCGTACTAGGCCGGCCATTGACGAAGCCCCGCGCGACCGCGCTGACGCAGGTGTCGTGGTACCGCGCGCTTATGTTACTATTGAACTTAATAATGTTCCATTTTAATAAACGACCACGCGACTCGGTTTAGATTATGTTATTTAACTGAATTGATATGCTTATAATTAAATTAGCATAGCTACAATGATTAATTATGTCAATTTTTTGAATAGGTAAATACTAATAATAACTCGACCTAAAACCAATACTTCGGTAGTTAGTAGTACTAGTACTAGGTAGTTGGTAGTTACTTAGGTATTTATCATTTACGAGTATTCATCGGAATAAATGCCCGTCTCTAGATACTTAAGTATTAATAAAGAGTCTACCTTATTTACAGAAGATGCTGGAAGTGTCTTCCACCTTGTTCGATGCACAAGATTGCACGACGCGACGTATTACGTTGTTTTTCACTCGCAATAATGTGTCTGTCACTTTTAATAATATCAAACGCGTTTATTATGCGTATTTTCAATTCGTCCGCGTTTCTAAACTCACTACCACTGTGGCCGTACACTAAGTCCTTAACACGACCCGAAAGATAGAAATCTATGGGAATGAGGTCCGGGGATCGAGGTGGCCATGCAATCGGTCCACCACGGTCTGTTCAGCGATTTGGATAGGTAACATCTAAATACTCGCGAGCTGCTCTGTGGTAGTGGGCCGGCCTGGCCTTCTTCACGGAGCATGTTCCATGCGGTAACGTGACTTTTTCCTAAGTCACGACCTGCGACCTGATTCTCGTGGAAGTAGTCGAGAACTCGTTCTTCAATATCTCCGGCAAGCCGCGGCCTACGGCATCTGCTTGGGGAGGACGAAACTGATCATAATCCAGTAAACGCTGGTAAGCTCCCAGTATTGTCTGTAAATCCGGTACTCGTCGTTGAGCACCATACAGTTCCGGGTACGTAGTACGAGCTGCAGATACATTTTCGCCACTTCTAATGTACCACATTAACATGTCTAAGTACTTGCGATTACTGTACGTAAACGGCATTATTGGATATTATACAACAAACAATAAAAAGTCAAAACTAAAAAGCAAAAAATAACTATTATTAGTACTGATAGGTTACCCACCCACTGATAGGTAAGTGATAGGTAGTCGGTGCCATAAGTTCCATACAAAAGTATTCATTATAAAAAACCGACTTCAAAAAACCAAAAACTAATAACAAACGAAAAGTCAAAACTAAAAAGCAAAAAATAACTTATTAGTACTGATAGGTTACCCACCCACTGATAGGTAAGAAGTCGGTGCCATAACATGGGGACGGTGACGGCGCGCCATTGCTTCGCTCGGGCCGCAAGCGCAGGGTTTGCTCAAAAAAATTTAACCATCTCCTTTATTTTTGTTAAAAATAAAAGTCGTTAAAATTGTTAATTTTTTTTTTGCTATACGTGTCAGTTTATTGATTCCCACCAACCTCATAAAATATTTAGAGCTTTTATTAACACCTTATATAAAGATTGACGTTTAGAATAAAATTTTATTTTATATTACATAAAACATTTGCCAGTTTTAATTTTTAAAATGTTCATATTTGTCAGCGTGCTGTTTATTTAACGTAATATTATTTTGAAAAATAATAATGTTCTAGTGGTATGAATTTGTTAACAGATTCCCAAACATCGTTAAATGACGACTCTGACAGCTTTTCTGGTGAAGTTAGCCTGGATCGCGTCAACAGCAGGTAAGGCGTAATGATATAAAAGTATTAACTATCTGGTCTGCAGCTGTAGCCAAATGCCACTTAGCGCTTGTCTACATGTAGAATAGAAAACCAAATTAAATGGGATTGACGTAAGTTTTGACACTTGTCAGTGTCATCCCCATACATTTAGTTTTCTACTCTGAGACTCGTTTGCCAAAGAGGGAAAAAAAAATAGTTTTCTATTCTCTCTGTAGACAAGCACTAAGGTGGCGTTTGGCTAAAGACACTGAAATATTAACTATCTGGACTGAAAAGTTTAGAAATCTGAAATAGTATGATAGGTTATTCGTTCACATGTCCAGTAAACGATGAATTCCATAATTTTATTACTTTAAGAAGCTAAAAACACACTTTATGCCGAGTGGCCGAGTGGTCGTGTGTGCAACTGCCGGGCAAGGATTCCCGGATCGGGCAAAATATTACTCTCGGGTTTCTTTTTAATTTACAGTAGTAGCACGGAGTCTGGAAATGTGCCCAGTATATGGCAATAGGCTCATCCCCTATTATATGGGACTGGTAATATAAATAGTGAAAAGTAGATGTTACATTGTACAGTGGCATTAAGTGCCGTAATGTGCACCGCTGCCGCTGCTGATTTAGGGCGTGATATTATGTTATGCTAATGAGCACAAAATCGATTTGTTTTCGAGTAGAAACCCCAAGGTTCCATCAGTTACCTTTCTATTCCGTCACCACCCATTCCATAATATTGTATGGTATTTGTATAATAACAATCGCGAGACATGCTAAATAAATTGAAAATGACAGTTTACTCACGTAATTGACTGAGAAATGCTCTACTAGTTTCAATAATTATCGTGCATATCTATCAAAATCTACACTTTATTATAAAAAAGTTAACACATTAGTATTTTAATGTTTTTTCTTCTCGCAGGAATAATCTCGACGATCGAGCAGACGATTTTTATGGTGGAACTGACACATCGTCATTAGTGAAGTCGACTGAGAAAGATGCGTTCTCAAAGGATGTTGATATTCTTGCTTAATGTGCATGTCGCTTTTATTATAATAATGTATTTATTATTCTTATTTAAATCAGTAAATATACCCTAATATAAATATATTAGATATTAATTTAACAATAATTTGTTTTATTTGTACACGTATAATATATCGGGATCAAATAATAAACGACCATAAATTTCCAGTCTACGATGGCAACGTCTGATCTACCATGATCTAGATAGTAACAATCTGTTAGGGGCGATCAGTCTATTCTTACGCTGCGCTAAGAAAACGAAAATTTTACAATGCGTTTCATTTGTGTGTTTTATTTTCTATAAAATTTTACAGTGCATTTCATTGATACTTGATTTTTTGTTAAAAAAAATCATGTTTGAAGTAAATAAAACAAAAGCAATAAGTTTTCAGCGTGCTATATCAGTGTTGACACCTGAAGGATTTTTGAATTTGCCGCATTTTTCATGGGACTAGACTCGCTTGACAGACTATACCCACTACTCGGTTCCTATCCTATTAGTCACAGCGTGATTATGTCTGTTTCATAGTCTATGACATTTCTCTATCCAACACAAAAAACTATTCAAATCGGACCAGTAATTTCGGAGATTAGATTAAAACGTTCAAACAAACTCCAGCTTTATACATAATATAGATTTATTTTTGTACCTATGTAACTTTACTGCTTCACACTCACAGTATAGACATTGCATTGCATAGGCGGATATTATGCCATAGGCAATTTCTAGGTGCCAATATACAGCGTACCTACAATATATAATGTAGTACAATATATAGCCAATATACAGGTGGTAGATTTTACTCTAGCGAACAGAAACGTAAGACGTTGTGGAACGTGCAATGGGAGCTAAGGTATTTTTGTTCACCAGATGGCAGTAATCTAACTATAAACTTTTATTTTTATCGTCCATTCGGTAATTAATAAAATTTGATTTTAAGCAATGATTAATAAGGTATTTCCTTATTTATCATTGCTAAATAATTTCTAACACATATTTAATTACTGTTCTTTGTGGGATTGATTTCGCCGCTTTTATTAGGTTCTAGCTTTTACCCGCCACTTTGCTCGCGTCACAAAAAGGATAAAAAGTAGCCTATGTGATATATACCAATACACACAGCGCCATCTATACCAATACTTTTGTTTTCCCTCAGGAATATTTATTTTTTCCGGGATAAAAAGTACCATATTATTTAATCCGGACTTCGAACTTTGGGTCTACAAAAATTCAAAGCAATCGGTTTAGTAGTTACTGCGTGAACGCGGAACAAATAAACAAACTCACTTTCCGATTTATAATTATTATTATTAGTAAGGATGTCGTCTGTCTATTAGCATCTCTATTCGTCAGTCTGACTCTGACATTCATATTTCTGCTTGTCGATGTCGATCATAGATTTAGTATTATAAAGTTGTAAAAAGTGCAGGTCGAGAAATGATATTAAAAGTGAAAGAGTTCTGTGAAGCGGAACAGAAGAATCGTGGCGTTTTAATACCATTAGACAATGTTCGCAAAAGAGTCGCCACCATGACAGGTAAATTTTGGGGCTGCCATATTATACATATTTTTTACTAATGGGGTTGGCCGGTCAAAGCTTAGCACAGATGGCGCCAGCATAGCTAGTTCTTTTGTATTTGTTTACACATACTTACGAACTGTTTATTCACTCTTTTATGACTTGAAGACGCCTGTGCAATTGTGGTTTATTATCGAAACGTCATGTATTCCAACTGGCGGATCAAGGAACTGAAAGATAAGTTCCGAAAGCGTGGTGCTTCATCACATGGAAAGAAAGCAGATCTTGTTGAAAGGTATATATTTTGTCTGTCTTATTTCACTTATTTTACTTGTCTTACCATGTACATTCATCGGAGATTAACTGTTTCTAAATTTAGTATCACTTTAAGTGATAATTTCTTGTTAATTATAATGAAACTGTAAAAACCTTATACTTAAACTAATTCATATTTTAGGTTGGAGTTATATGACCAAAACTTTAATTTTGACCGTCCTGACAAGGCTGATAATGAAGATCCAAAGATGCAGTTACCGTTAAGTGAAACCTATCGGGATATTAACAGTAACACAATATTGCCACCCTTAGATAAAAACCATGATCAGACATTATTTATGCTAGTAAGTATTGTAACTTAAGTTAAAATTAAATACGTAGATAGTTGCCAACTGTCATTCACAAGTGTTGTTATATTTTCCAGCACACAGAAAAAAAATGATATAGTAGTGCGGTTATATGAAACACGTCACTTGCCAATGGGCACAAGCTTCTGTGGATGGTGACAATACATTCGTAAAAGGATCCTGCAGGAAGACTATGAAGAGTCTACAGTATGAAGTAGATATAGTATTAAATATGAATGGTAATCCTGAAGCTTCACACTGTGAATGCCCTGCTGGAAGTGGAACGAATGCCTTGTGCAAACATGTTGCAGTCCTCATAAGTGGCATTGAGAACATGGTACGAGAAAAAATTCTGCTTCTGCAAGAAGCCTGGTTGTGCGTTCCATGCAAAGACAGATGGTACAGCACTTTTCTTGAGATATTTGTGCTGGTGTTCAACTCCTGTAACAAAAAGTTAGGAATGTTATTAACGTCTTAATACAGCACTAATTAAACTAACTATCTTATTGTTATCGTAAGATGTTTATACTTATTAATACAAGAAATTGTCGGCAAGTAGGTTACCTGTGTATTTGCTGATTTTTTCGTTAATTATTTGTTAGAATTAAATCTTCACGGCGAATGGCTTTTAACCAAATCCGACGAATTTTCTTATCTTTTGTGATATGATGGACTGCTATTTCCGAGCATTTCAATACGATACAACGAGTCATTTTGATAGAACAAATATTTTTCTTATTTTTAACGAAGAGAAATGCAATGTTTTGGGCACTAGCTATAACAGCACCACTTTGACAGTTGCCAACCCCATTAGAATTAAGTTTTTTTTAATGCACGATTTTTATGAAGGAAAATTTGAAGAGGAATTAACATAACAGCAAAAATTTGTAAAGTTGTATTCAACAATAATGTAATTAAATGCGGAAATAGTCACTGTTAGGTTTTTTTTAAATTGTTCATTTAATTGCAGGTGTGTCGGAGAAAACTGTAACGAGAGTTACAAAAGAAGGCGCAACAGCGGCAAGTACTTCTAAAGTTATCGTCACCCCAGGGAAGAGTCGCCCGCATCCCAAGAAGTTCGACTTGGATGGATTTGATTTGTGCGCTATACGGCAAAAAATTCATAGTTTTTATGTTGTGAAGAAGGAATTACCTACATTGGCTAAATTACGTGCAGCTTTGAGAGAAGATATAAATTATCAAGGAAGTATCACTACATTGCACCGTATATTGCATAGAATCGGTTTCAAGTATAAGCGATGCCAGTCGAAACGTAAATTACTTATGGAACGTTATGATATTACTGCATGGCGTTCAAGATATTTGGAGAGAATCCGAAGAAATCGCAATATGGAAAAAAGACCTGTAGTATATTTAGACGAGACCTATATACACAACACTTATCATGCCAAAAGTTGCTGGCAAAGTGAGGAGGAGCCTGGGGTGTTCGTGTCAGAGTCATCAGGGAATCGTTGGATAATTGCTCATGCAGGAAATGAAAATGGTTTTGTTAATGGTGCATTGTTAATGTTCAAGTCCCAATCAAAATCCTCAGATTACCACGATGACATGAACTCAACAAATTTTTTAAAATGGATGAATGAAAAAGTCATTCCTAACCTACCTGAAAGGTCACTTGTGGTGATGGACAACGCTCCGTATCATTGCACTCAAATAAATAAAACACCTACAATGTCAAGTATTAAACGTGACATGCAGGAATGGCTGCGAGAAAAGGGAGTATATTTTGAAGATAATTGGACAAAAGCTGTATTATTTCAATTAATAAAACAAAATAAAGGTCCACCTACATATGCCGTGGAAGCATTATTAAAATCTCACAATCATGAATTGTTAAGATTGCCCCCTTACCACTGTGATCTCAATCCGATCGAAAAAATGTGGAGCCTTGTAAAGAGACGGGTAGCGGATAAAAACGTGGGCCAAGATCCAAAAGAAATTGTACGCCTAACAGAAGAGGCTTTCGAGTCTGTTACAGCGGAAGATTGGGCAGTTCAATGCAAACATGTACAGCATTTGGAGGAAGAATATTTAAAAAATGATGGTCTTATGGATGAAGAAATGGATCGATTTATTATATCTACCGCTAGTGATAGTGAAACAGAATCTGATTCTGTTTCTATTCACTCTTCTGACAGTGATCATAGTATGACCGATCATAATTATTCAATAAAACTTTGAATAAAACTTTTTAAATGTTATTTTATTTTCCTAATTCGAAGTTGGTTGAACATCTTTATTTCCATTTTATATTTTAGAAATTACAGGAAGATTAATTTTTCACAAATCTGACCTTAGCAATATAAACATAAATACCTATATAAAAAAGACATTTTTTTTCTAAATATACATCGAACTGTTCGAGTACGTAGTTAATCAAATTAAACTAATGAACTTTAAATAATTTCTCCTGATGTTGCCACGGTTAAATTTATATAGTATGGGACTATATAAATTTAACCGTGGCAACATTATGTCGCGCGAATACAGCGCTGCGTCTGCGGGACTTCTTTCGTGAAATGGACTTTAGTAGGTCTGTGATGTCGATAAATAAATTGTCAATGTCAAATGTCAATTTGACCATTACAATTTTGATGAACCACTTTGCTATTTTCGTTTTTCAGTATTTTTTCTAACGCTGCTATTGTGAAGTGCTTGATTGTCATAAATCTTGTAGATCTAAGTTCACTTGCTTCATTATGAACAATATGATTTCACGTGTCGCTGCTAAACAATGCGTAACATTGAGAGCAGTCACAAATGTTACTCGCCGTAGTTTTGTTTCCAAAATCGACGATGCTAGCACCCATACAGGCCAGGTACTACTGCTACAGTGTATTTTATACATTCCTTTATAGATGATTCTGAATAAGAATTAACCAATCGCCTTATTAGTATTTTTTTTGTATAGATAAAATTGTCTTACATAACAGGAAATATTTGTATTCTGTGCTGTGATTTAATTATTTGCAATAATTTGATACTAAAAATAATTACCTGCTGTCCGTATTATGTAAAACAGGTGTCTAAAAGTGATATTTCTTTCATATAATAATTAGTATTTTATACTATATAATTCATTCATAAAATTTTAATAATACTAAGTGTAGGTATAACTACTAATAAGTAAACAAAAACTTGCAGAAATGGGAATCTGATGACTACAGATTGGCTCGGTTCATGAATGCCCCTAAGCAAGTTAATCCTAACTGGGCAGTTAACTTGATAGCAGAAGTACCACCAAAACAAGTAACTGAAAGAGTAGTATGGTGCGATGGAGGAAGTGGCCCTGAAGGACACCCACGAGTTTTCATTAATTTGGTAAGTATTCTTGTTACTGAGTTAACTTAATGATGTATTCTTGACATTCTTGTTTTTTTCTAAATTAAATTTGTTAAGGTTGTATAAGATTATAGTTATATTATAGAATAACTGTAAATGTATAGAGCAGAGTATTACACATTAGTATCCGAATTCAATAATTGTTTTCAACAAACTATCAGTAATAAAATACTTTAGACCATGTTATCATCGTTTTTCATTTTGTTTGAGGTTTCTGCAGATTTGACATTTAATAAATCCTTTTTTTTAACTAAATTACATTTTGGTATAATAATATTGGAAAATCTTGTAGATTTGGGCATTTGTTTGTAATTCTCGTAAATGTAATTCTTTATTACTTCATTTTACTGCTGCTGGCCTATTCGGTTCAGTTATAGTTTGGGCCAAAATTAATAACGTAATTGCAACCTTTTGCTTATGGTCTATAATATTGTTTATAAATAATATAATCTACTCTTGGGCTTTTTTGGCGTTTTCGTAATGCTCAAATCTATTCAATATATCTTCTCTACACTGAATGTGTTATTAGGACTATAAAACAATGACTTCTTTTTTTAGGACAAGCCTGGGGACCATTCATGTGGATACTGTGGTTTACGATTTGTCAAAAAAGATGGTCATTAATGGACGAAAATTGATATGAAGGGTAAAATTACATTTTAGATGTTACATAATTTTTGTTTCCTAAGAATTACTTTGTTATAGTAGTTGTTGAAAATAAAAGGATAAAACCTTTTTGAAGCTGCCTATTATTTTATATACTATTTAAATGACTATTGTGGATTAGTTATGAAGGTAATCATTGATAAAAATGATCACATATAATAATTGGTAAGTAAATAATCTTTTAACCTATACTAAATACTTATATTTATTTTTAATATATTAATTTAGAGTTAGTACAAATTGACAATTTCTTTTGTACTGGATAGTGCGTTTATAACAAATTATACAGACTGGGTATTCACGGCGATCTTCTTCGTTGGGTAAAATCATATTTATTTAAAAGGTCACAGGCTGTAGTATTGGTGGTTACCGTTCTAACTTCATAGAAATACCTAGTGGTGTTCCACAAGGATCCCATTTAGGACCTCTTTTCTATAATGCATATTTATTTGATATTACTGACTCCTTCAAACACTCCAAACACTTAAGGTATGCTGACGACAAAAAAATATATTATAAAATAACTTCATTTGATGACTGTACAGCTCTCCAACAAGACCTTGACAATTTACATGATTACTACACAAGAAACAAGATTACAGTAAACATCACGAAATGTCAATGCATCTGCATCAGTTACACATGTAAGAGGAACCCTATAACATACTCGTACCAATTTAATGGAATTACTATTAATAAAGTTGAGATAGTTCGAGACTTAGGAGTTGTGTTCGATAGCAAATTGGCATTTTCAAATCACATAGATCTTATTACTAGCAAAGCTTACAAAAATTTAGGATTCGTTTTAAGATCCTGCAAGGCATTTAAAAACACTGAAGCGCTTAAATCTGTATATTTTGCTTATGTTTGCAGCGTTCTTGAATACGCATGCCCAATATGGTCCCCTCAATATAATATATATAAAAATCAAATAGAACGGGTACAAAAAAAATTATTAATCACCTTAACTACCGCCTCCGGAAACCTCCTGTCTTACGAAAATAGCTGTCGGACGTATGGGTTGTTAACACTCGATTAACCTTTTGAGCGCCAGGGTCACAAATACGTGACAAGCGAAAACTGTCCCTGAGCGCCAACGACACAAATATGTGACAAAAACAGCGGTACATTAAAACACGAAATAAACTATTTAAACATTACTTTAATGCCTATTTATTTATATACCTGTAAAATAGAAGGTCCAAAATTTATTCATTTCCATAAAACTAATTAAATTGCATTATAAATATTGAGAAATTTTACTTTAAAAAGAAAGAAATAAACTCTGAAAAAAGAATGTCCTCACACGCCAGAGTCATAACTGCGTGACCGCTAGTGATGTAGCGCATGTTGGATAATATCATTATTTCAAATCAAAGATCGATTCGAAACTTTTCTCTGGAATATATTATTTTAGGTATAATTTGGTACTAGGATAAAGCAGCATTAATTTTATAAAACCAGTCTTAAAAATCATTCAATGAGCTACATAGTCAAAAATAAAATTTGGTTGGGTCGAATTTCGATATTCACTAATCCCAACTCAAGCGCATCCCTAACGCAACCCGAATTATCAGTACCCTGTACGCCATGGTCACGACTAGACGACAATATCGTGACGTCACAAGCGCGGCGACCAGAAATTAGTGAAGTGAATGAATAATATTTATGATTAATTTACTTGTGATATCGAGTTCAAGATTTATATTAAGTGACTATTATAATGAGTGGGAATTTAATGACTACGGAAGAACTTCTTCGCATATTAGATGTGATTGGTAATTGTGATAATTATATATAATCGTTAATTGTTTTAATTTGTTACTTTTTATGCCAGGTTTATAGAACTTAATATTTAAAAACATGTATACATAGTACATACTGTATAACATTTTATTAAAATTTTCTATTTTTTCATAGTTTTTATTTACCTTCTTAACCTATTTCAATCATATATTTTTAAGTACCTGTTACATTCGGAATTATAAATCTGATTTAAAAAACGTGTTTCATTTATTATAAAATAATATTGTACTAGAACATCGATAAACGAGATATTACGTTGCCACATCCTTATTTCGGAAGCGAAGTAGTTATTAAAATGGCGGGCCGTCCACGCCATGGTCACAATATGAAGACAGCAGATCAAGAATAGTGTTGTACCTACAGTTGTTATATTTAAATATATTGTAGTCTCATATCTGTTATTACGGTATTATACAAGTCTGTAAATAGTGTATAACTATTACTTTAATAGGAAGAAATGTAATGTTGAATTAAATTTCAATGTTATAAGGACATTATATTTCGAAATTAAAGACGAAAATGAAAATAAAATTGATTATCGATGAAGTTTTGGAATCCCTATTTTTTTCGTAGGTATTTGCGGTGAATTTGTGGCCTGGCGTTGAGGGCAAGTTCATGCGTTTTTGCTCTGGCGTTCAAAAGGTTAACGACGTCAAGTGTTGGACATGTGTGTACTTTACGACATACTGAATGGTAGGCTGGATTGTCCGGATTTGTTATCACAGACAGATCAAATTTAATGCTCCTCTACGACGCAATCGCCATACGCCAATGTTGCATGTACCTAGGCATGCCACTAACTATGCTAGTAATTGTGTACTTGCTCGCATTGCGCGAGCCTACAACAAAGACTTCTCTCAGGTTGATGTGTTTAACTGCACAAAACCTATCTTTAATTAAAGCCCAAGTTAAATATTATAATTGATAAAGGCAAATAGCAAGCAACTTTGTTCCATTCACCATAAAGCATTTACTATGTTAATATATATTTTAATTAAATTAATATTATTATCTCCCATTCATAAAAAGTAGTATATTTAACTTTCAATTCTATATTAAAACTTTATTTTTAAATATTGTTTAAAGTCCGTTTGCATGGTAAATTTAAATTAAGTTGAGCAGGGAAAACTATTATTAGCCTTACTAAACTGTAATATCTTTATTTGTATTATATCATATGTATTGCTGTTGGTTTTCTAAATAAATAAATAAGGAATGCTATAAAACATAAGCTACGTAACATAGGAACCATATAGTGGGTGCAACCGCGTGAGAGTAGCTAATAATAAACATTGATAAACAATGGTATCTTTTATTTTAAACATAAGATACATAAAGAAATAAATAAGTAAATGGATTGAATTGTATTACATTAATAGAAACTAAGTTTTACACAATTTTAATAAAATGAAATACTGTTTCAAAATTGATAATGTCAATTAATTTTTTCCAGATGCTCCTGCATTTTCATTGCGCAATTCTTGTCTGATTTCAATATTTGACTGCAACAGCTCTTTTAACCTTTCATGAATATCATCATTTTTTTGTTCCAAATAGTCCAATGCTGAATTAAGTTCATCTAATTTTGAATCCAGCATGATGTATTCTGTAAATAAAAAAAAATTATGGGAAGTTCTTTTTGTAATATTAAGGTAAGAGATTATCATAATAAAGTAAGTATATAACTAAATATCTTGTTTAAATTCATCATATCGATATGTACATAATTTACCTTCCACGACATTTTCGTCGCTCGGTTCAGTTGGTTCAATGTCATTGTTTTCTGCAATGCCATTTTGGTTACAGTTGTTTTGATCTTTCCCAGCCATATTACGCTAAACAACAACTATTTATAACTTCAATCTTTAGCCAATTATTCGTTATTCGAGGTACACAAGTAAACTGATGACACTATGACAGTTATTTGACATTAAAAACTGTCAGCAATGTCATGCAGTCACATGATGCTGCCAGTGCAGAGAAAGAAATTACCAATGGCTACGAATACGAATCGTCAGTCTATGGAAGATAACTATTGGTGATCCAAATTGCAAAGATTCTAACTGGCACTATTAGTGTCAAAATTGTGAAGCTGTCTAAGAACGACACTGATGATTTTCGTATATCATTTAGTTTAGGTACGTCACAAATCAGGTTTATATGGTTTCTTGTATATAAATAATTAAGTAAATTGCAAGATTAAATAAATGTTAAACCAATTAAGTATTTAAAAAAATATCCTTAAATCACTTCTTAGTCTTATCATATCAGTGTTACACTCGAATTCAATCCTATTTTCTTTATCGATATCGATACATTCGTTCAATTGTTATAATGGCCAATAGATATATCACCAACTCTAAACTTCTAACTTTTTTCAGTCGAAAACTAAACTCGCATTTATTTAAGATTCCTGATTCATTTACAATATGTTTATCTGATGCTCGACCACCATAAGATGCACGTATATCAAAATATAATCAAAATAGCTCTGTCCTTACAGATCACATTTTCTTGTTTGTTGGAGCATTTAAGGCCAATTCAATTTCGACGGCGACCTCTCGCATCCGGTATTGGTTCAGGTCATGGCGCCGAGCAAGGGGGACTGGGATGCCGTCATCTCCTTCTGCGAAGCAGTCATGCTAGCCAAAGAGGAGGCATGGTGCGTGAGGGAACAAGCCTCCTCACGCCCCAGCCGTCGCGGGAGACACTCCGGGCAGCGGAGATCACCTGACGATCTCTGGCCACCGTAAGCACGGGTCTGCGGACGGTGAGCAAGCGTAGCTTGCCAACCGACCAGAACCAGACCCTTACGGCGTACGTGCGTACGGTGCATCGCGTTCCACGCGCGCCTCAAAGAGCCATCAGACCACCACAGATGTGGTCCAGTAGGGCTAATTGCCCGATACAGAGCCTAACGGGTTGCCGGGGCTCCAGCTTGAAGGGCAGGAGTAGGAACGGGGTGGTTTTTTTTTCAGTAAGAGTCTGACACTCCCTCTCGCCTAACCCAAGGCGAGAAAAGTCAATGGATGATTTCGCCCAACAAAAAAAAACACGAGTCATCAATGCTTCTAAAAGTTCAACTGGTATGATGACAGGGTATGAAAATTAAAAATCTAATTAGTCCGTAAGTTAGGTACCTAATGAAAAAATATTAGACACGTATTTTTTTATTTTGTCGTATAATAAAACAATACGTAGATAAAACAAATCAAAGTTTAGGAGTGAGGACTAAAACTTCATTTCTACGTATAAAATGTACATAGAAGTGACGTCACGCGACAATTCAAATCAATATATCGTCGAAAGTATTCTTTCCATAAGAAAATAAAAATGAAGATGTGTCTAATGATTTAAAATAATCTACCAGACGAACATTAAAATAAAAATTAGGTATCTAAGTATTGACTGAAAGAAAGAGAGAATAAATCTGAGAGGGTTAATTGCTTTACAGCTGATCTTTCCACTTTCCATCATCATCATCATCATATCAACCACAGTACGCCCACTGCTTAACATAGGCCTCCCCCAATGACTTCCAGATAGGCTGGTTGTCCCTGCTACCTTGATCGTCTGTGTCACTTTCCATACTGAAAGAAAATTTATTTGATTCATATTTTGGAAATAAATGGAAACTTATTCCCGTATTACATTGAAGAACGCAACAATATTTTGTCTTTCTGCTTTTATTAAAAAAAGGTTTCTGTATGTAATCGTGATCCACTTGATTATGTTTAAACTAATTAACCTCAACTGGAAACCAAAGTGTCATTCTTAAACAACTTCTGAATTTCACCGCTAGAGGCGCGCGGATAATCTTTGCATCGCCAATAGTCCGTAAAGTTATGTCTATTGTCGTCAATAAAGAGTACAATAAGTATAGGGGGGGATAGTCGTCAGTTCGTCACCAGGGGTTGTTGGATAACCGGAGCGTTGTGTGGTTTACAAATTTTTGTTTCAGGTCCGAGTGTCATTGTGTATGTTGGTGGGTATACTGGGTGTAATTTAATTTTATGTTGTAAGCACCCCATAGATACAGGAGAAAATCCATTAAGTGAAATACCATATACTTAATATAGTGTTGACGTTAAGCGTTGTTGGAGGCTGCTATCAAATCTGTAAAATATAGCATGAAGGCACGCACAGAAAGCTGTAAGCGACATAATTATCATTTCCAATTGATACCGATGCTTGTGTAACAAAAACCGTCATTAATGCTAACGTAACTCGGCAACTGAGCTAAAAGCGGTAAGCTTTCTCCCTAAATACGATGTATTTAAATGGTGATAAATTAATAAGTGTCATGAATAGGTGAGAAATTTAATTTTATTCACTCACTAATTTATCAAAATGTCTAACTTGTCTGTACTATTAAAAGGGGCCTATCTTTTTTGCTCATTAGAGTTTACACCATTGGACCTTAAATATTTAACAGCCAATGGACAAAAAACTTTCTATATTTGCGCCATTTGCTGAGTAAAAAACGTTAGCTTGTGAATGGGTTCACAAGTAAGCTGCACAGAGAACATCCTATATTTTACGGAATTAATTTTACTACTTGTGCTTTACTCTTTTACTACTATCAATAAATCGTAAAAAATTGTAAGTACAACAAACAAATCAAAAATAACGTTTAAGCACCAATTAAAAATCGGTTATAGATTGCAGCTGCAGAAGTTTAATCAAGGGATAATTTTTTTTCTTATAATTATGAAATTATGACTATCTTCTATTCTATCTTTTTTCTTTTTCCAAACAAGGGCGTTGTATTTTTTAACTCCTAATATTCGGGTTATTACATATGGCTGATATGGCAACAAAATATCCAAATACGTCATAATTGATGAAGGAGGAAGCCTTTGTTTTGCATCGCAGAAATATAATTATTTCTAAAAATTGTATACGTTGCGGTGTGGCATTTGTTGAATTTAGATATTGATCGTGTATTATTTTTTAAAACAAGGCGAACTGTTTCTGATCTGTAAGTGTTTACAATAACTTGAAATCATAGACATATTTGAACGCAAATAAATGTCAGCATAGTTACAAATAAACTCCCCCAGTATTTCCTATAAATTGTTTTGCACAAAACATAATTTGAAATTTCTTACTAATATGGTTTATAATAGATTAGTTTTTATACTGTGTTTGATTGTTACTTATTGTCGGTATTTTCAATAAGCGATGACTCATATAGTCATCAATTAGGTATACGGAAACTGAATATATATTTTCCAACAATCCCTTTAAAATTACAGATATTAGGACTCAGCAGTAGTATTTTCATGGTATTGTAGTTTGTAATTAAACTTTGTAGTGTTTCGAAGTGAGGAAGGAATAACATGAAAGTAAATTTTATTCTAGACACTTATGTGTCAAGTTTGTTCTCTCACTTAGAAAAAACAAATCTTATCATTGCTGTCCTAGATTTTGAATATTTTATTACAATTTAAAGGTATTATGATTATGAACATGTATTTGTAATGTATCAAATTCGTAGAGTGCCTAGATATGTATTGGTAACAAAATTTAATATAGCTAGTAGTATAAATATTTACCAAACCGATACTGATAATTATTCACCTTGAATTTTAAAATTGTAATAGATATGTCATAAATTACTGATATTTAGGGATCACTCTATTAAAAAGAAATCTTTTTAAATATACCATACTCTTGCTTGGAAATAATTAAATTTCTCTCAATTGAATATTTACTTATAATTGTTTAAACCTATTTGGTAGGTCCAAATAGGTTTTACTTAATTGAAAATGTGTGATATCGTTATAAATACCTTTAATGTAGTTTTTACTAAAATAGTCACTGATCATAGATCACCGAGTTTGAGCCAAAGTATTTAGTGTATTTGAACACTGATTTCTATTTGCACTATATAATACCAAAATCAATTTGGAAAAAAATTTGAAGTACAAATTTTTGTGGATATCATTGTGCCTATTATATTTTATACTAGCTTTTACCCGCGGCTTCGCTCGCGTCACAAAAGAATAAAAAGTAGCCTATGTGATATATACCAATACACACAGCGCCATCTATACCAATACTTTTGTTTTTCCTCGTGAATATCAATTTTTTCAGGGTAAAAAGTACCCTATTATTTAATCCGGAATTCTAACTTTACGTCTGCAAAAATTCAAAGCAATCGGTTGAGTAGTTACGGCGTGAAGGTGGAACAAACAAACTCACTTTCAGATTTATAATATTAGTAAGGATGTATGATATATGATGTGCCCTTCTATTATCATAGCTACAGCTAGTATAATTGATTTGCCTGCATGCTTGTAATTTTTTTTAGAACATAGTTTAACTCGTCGAGTACCGGTTTTATAGACACAATTAAAGAACAATAGGTCGCGGTCACCGGTGACCGCTTGGTGTTTGACAGATTAATGTGATATCTGTTAAGTTGTTACTAACTGGTTTTCTTAATTTATTATTTTCAGATCTAAAATGACTTCAGGACCATACAATTATTCTTACATATTTAAATACATCATCATTGGTGATATGGGAGTTGGCAAATCATGTCTATTGCATCAGTTTACAGATAAGAAATGTTAGTACATTGTTTCTTACATAATATAATTGCATTCCTAATCTTTTAATATATTTTTTCTTATTATGGTTATTATGTTAGCATTATCTAGACATAAACACCTGGTTTTTGAAAGGCTGATCGATTGAAATCAGCTGTTAAATCTCTTAACAGGTGTAAACCGATTTGTTAGGAGAGTGATTATATTTAATTTTATAATGTAATAAATTATTATTATTGTAAAGCATAATAATATTATTTAATAAGCATAATGCTCATAATTTGCTACGAAAAAGGTAGAAAGAAATAACAGTGTAAAATATTATTTTTAAACAATCAAGTCTGTATACAAAGAAAATTGTCAAGAATTTAGACAAGGTACTTTATTAATAACTTATTTTAGAAATACCTATTGTAATATAGGTATTTTTGTAGTATTAATGACTGACTACTAACTGCCTCTTTGGTCAAGTGGTGATTGTAGTCATGTGTCATCTTTTAGATTCTATATTAGAAGGGTAGCCTTATGAAATGTAGTTAAGATTGTTTGATTGGTTAATTTATTATTGATTTGACAAGCCTTAAAATGGGGTAAATAATGAACAATTATGAATTAAATAAGAATTCATTGAAATTATTTCAAACTTTTTGCATGATTTCAAAATAATTTTAAAAGTATTAAAAAATTTTTAGTTATGGCTGACTGCCCACACACAATTGGTGTTGAATTTGGGACCCGAATTATTGAAGTAGCTGGCCAGAAAATTAAACTGCAAATATGGGACACTGCTGGACAAGAAAGGTTTAGAGCTGTAACTCGGTCATATTATAGAGGTGCTGCTGGAGCGCTAATGGTGTACGACATTACAAGAAGGTAATTAATTCATCAATTAAACTATTATTATAGAACTAAAATACATATTAAAAGTATTAAAACCCAGTTTATTCATAATTTCTTTCACTTCACTAAAAAACTAAAGTATTGTGGATATGTCACCACTTGATTTATTTTTGTACATTTTGATTGAATTCTCTAACTTTTTCAGATCCACTTATAATCATCTTAGCAGCTGGCTTACAGACACTCGTAACTTGACAAACCCCAGCACTGTGATATTCTTGATTGGCAACAAATCAGATTTAGATGGTCAAAGAGATGTCACATATGAGGAAGCAAAACAATTTGCTGATGAAAATGGACTTATGTTTGTTGAAGCTAGTGCTAAGACGTATGTATTTCAGTATCTGTACATCCAATTAATTTGCGCCTTGAAGAAGTGCACAAAATGTGCACTCCTAAGTAGTCCTTGTTCCTCCTCCTGTAAGTAATCGTAGTTTAGTACCCTAGATCAATATTCTTAGTTAATTATTATGTTTTCGGCTTAGTCACGTAACTGTTTGACGAAGAACTCGACTAGTTTCAAGCCATGCTAGAGGCTCATATTCATGAGCAGCATTCCGCGACTAGCAACGCGTGGTTTGCAGAGCCGCAGAGCCGGGCAGACAGTTGTAGCGCGACAATCGCCGCGTCGCTGCATCGCAGCTTGATGTGCGTTTCGTTACGTTAGTTTTACATTGCTTGTTTAATTACTCAGTAATCGACTGATGTACCTATGGTTATAAAAGAGCAATGTGTTTAATGCAAACAATACAGTCGGAGTCACGGAATATAGAATACAATGGAAGTAGCAAGTAGGCGTGGCACGCGTGCCACAACTGAGCCGTGTACTGCGTACTCGAGGCAAATTCGAGTTCAGTCTCGTTCGAATATGGCGTCGAGTTTCTAGTCTCGTGACAAATACATATTTCCTCAACTATGCCGTTTTGTTCCGTTTTGGCGTGTAAAATTGATAGCAGCCGAAAAATCGTAAAAATAGAGGTGTTTCGTATCATCGGTAAGTACAATTTTCATTGTTTTCTTGTAGAAATCTTATTTTATTTCAATTTACAAAAACGGTTATTACTTAATATTATTTACTAAAACGGTTAGTCAAAATCAACCTTACGCATTCAAGATAAAGTTTATTTTGGATTTATTCCATTCAATAGAACATTCTCGCCAGTTCTACGCTACTCAAATAATCACATATTGAATTTATCGATTGATATCGATGCAAGTGTAATGTAACATTTATTTAGATTATTTTTTTATTATTATTTTAGTGGTGACCCCGACGTGATTGGAAGCAACCTTCACTTCACGGAGCAGATCAGCACTATCATCCTTATCGCCACCTATTGAATTTATCGATTGATATCGATGCAAGTGTAATGTAACATTTATTTAGATTATTTTTTTATTATTATTTTAGTGGTGACCCCGACGTGATTGGAAGCAACCTTCACTTCACGGAGCAGATCAGCACTGTCATCCTTATCGCCACCCCTCTCATTTATCACATTATCCATATAAAGTTTGTAAAAATTTATGTAATAGTTGTTACATATATTGCCTATGTGAAATAAAAAAAAAATGTTTTTTTGAAAACAGAAACTAATAAAAAATACGAACAAAATGATTTTTAATTTACATGCAAATAAATACTTACCCTTTTTTGTTACGTTTAAAAAGTTATCAACGACATATTAATTTTATTATTTTAATACTGTCACACTATCGCAGTCAATATTTTTTTTCACATTATTTTTAAAACACATTTTCATATTATCGATATTATTTTTATCGAATTAGGCTACATCACTATCTGAGTAGAGACCCGCATTCGAGCCAGTGATAAGCCATTCAAATATCACCTTTATTCTTATGACGTTAAAGTTCAAACCATGTACCACTTTTCGTCGCTAGATGGCATTGTTAAACGCCATCTAGCGACGAAAGCGACGTACTTGGTAGTCCAAAATATACTTTTTTATTTTGATTTATAGTGCATTGATTTTAAAGTTGCATATCGTATGATATTTTTTTTGCATTTCGTTTAAGCCCATTTTTGTTCTAACCAATCGTAACTTCCGATTTATAGTATGAGTAAATTATAAATGTATTAGTTTGGCGACACCGGTTCTGGCAGAAATATTGTTTCAAGCTACTTCCATTGTATTCTATATTCCGTGGTCGGAGTAGTATAGGAAAACAAAAATTAAGTAATGAAAGTCCGAAATATTTTACGTTTTGCTGCTTTTCGTGATTTTTAAGACAAATGTTGTAAAATATCTGTGATTAAATGATAACTGAGGCCCTGACTTAACATTTCTTTTTTTGCATGAAACCACTCAACAAGGCTGTGTCTTTAGTTTACATTTGTGGTTGACAACAGACTAACTCGAGGTGACGGCCATTTTTTCAAAGATTGAGCGGAGCACTCAACGCCGCGGCCCCCTTGCTTCTTCTCCTTTTTTAACCGACTTTCCAAAAAGGAGGAGGATTATTAATATCTCTGTAGGCTATTTTCACGAATGAGTTCTCACGCCTTGGTGAGGCGGAAGGGAGTGTCAGACTCGTAAGAGTCTGGGTGGTTTTTAGTAATAAAAACCACCCCGTTCCTTCTCCGGCACTTCGAGCCGGAGCCCCGGTAAACCCGTTAGGTTCTCTGCGACTCCGAATCGGCATTTCTGTGGGCTGATATATGACGACGATGATTTCAAATAAATATTAAGCATGTTTTTATTTTTTCAGTGGTCAAAATGTGGAGGAAGCCTTTCTTGAAACAGCTAAGAAAATATATCAAAGCATTCAAGACGGGCGATTGGACCTGAACGCAGCTGAGTCCGGAGTGCAGCACAAGCCGGCGTCCCCGGGCCGCCCGCTTGCTGCTCCCCCGGCCGCGCGGGATAACTGCGCTTGCTAACCGATCTCGCGATCAATATGGATAAACCAGAAATCATACTTAATGGTTAAGAATTATTATCCTAGTAATAAATTCAATTGTCATAAATTTTGTTTTGTTTTGACATAATTTATATTAGCATACATTCCACGTTATATTTGTGTTTAGAATGTTATAGGTGTCTCATGAAGAGAGCATCAATATCTTTTATATAATAATAAACCTTAGGTACTATTGTTCTCATTGTACAGTTCTTTTTTAAGAATACATGTGCTAGTGATCTGAAATCTTAGTTTTCAGATGTATTATGTCAGGTACACTTTCAGTAATAGTTCTATGTGTATACAAATCAGTTTATTCGAATCACTTTAGTTAATAATTGCATTTATGTTAGGGCTTCTTTTGTATTTCGATATATTTTCAGTAAAGTATACCTACCTAAAACAAGTTTGTAGATATCAATATTCGACATTAAATTCTGCAGGGCACAGGATCCTGTGGAAAAAGTTGGAAGAGAGCTTTATCTTAGGTCAAATAAATACAGAATACAGATTTAACATCTGGTTATATTATTAAACAATTGAGCAAATCAACCTTAGGCCTGGCGTCAACTATCGGTTTGCTATAGATGCGGCTTCGGCGTCCTTAGGTGTGCTTACAACTGCAGGCAGCTCTCAGGTGTCCGAATGCCCCGAAGCCGCCCAAGCTGCACCGAGCCTGTTCGCACCGATATTGGCATCAGGCATAAGGGCCGCACTGTAATGTATTCATAAGTAATTTATTACTCTACTGTATAATCGACAAAAATTGTAATTTCTAGTTGTACATGTGGAGTGACACTTAAAAATATTCTCTTGATGAGACACCTTAAAGAGCATGGAGTGTTTGCTGTACTCAGTCATTTTACTGTGACCGAGGTCTGGGGTCTATGAATTTTCTGTGGGCTTATAAGAAAGTTGGGCTTGTTTAAATGTATTATTATTATTTATGATCTATGTATTGTTAGTAACTTTTGTAAGTATATTTTAAACACTACAGGAATTTAAAGAATTAAATTATTTTTAAGGCTATACTTTATTCAAAAATGTTAGTAGTTGCATAATAGTAACATCCTAAGTAATATTTTGATATAATAATCAGTAACACTAATTGAATAAAAATATCTTAAAATAAAAAGTAGCACTAAGTCTGTTTTACTTGAATACTTCATTGTAACTCTAACTTCATTCTTTTCATTGCAATCTGATACATTATTACTTGTAGTCCTACAACTGTAAAATGTTTTTCTCATCTGGTGCATCTAAATGTTATTATGCCTTATTTGCTTAATTTTGAATAAACCGACTAGACAAGTAGCAAGGGTGCTAAACCTGTTGTACCAATATATACACACTGGTGTCCCAAAACTCAAGGGTATAATTTGACCAGAGCTGGGCTACTTTGACTGCTCTGGGAATAGAAAAGAAAAATTATTTCATTTTTTCAAGAAACAGACTTCGAAATGAAATTAGGAGGTTCTCAGTTTGACCTGAAGTTTGTGCGCGATTATCTCGCGATTGGCTGAACCGATTTTGATGCGGTTTTCAGAAAAGTGTTAACTTAGGTTTTAGTGTAGTTACAGAAGAATAACTGATAATCCTAGAAAATGGACACCTATAAGACATTTTCGAGTACCATGGCCACAATATTAAAATATTTCTGGATGGTATGGATTACCTCAGCAATGCTGCTTTCCAATATCATCAATAAAAATGTCTTAACAAAGCTCGTTTTTTCATATAAAACAATCAAAAATACTTTTCTATCCAAAGTAAGATAATTTTATGTAGAGTTATCTACTTGTCAAGTTATATTGTTTGATTGAGTGAGTTATTTTTGGTACACCTATATATGTATATGAAAAAATAGTATTGCATAGTACAAGATTAATGTATGTATATTTTGGTGCAGGTCAAGGTGTGGATTTAAATTTATTAAAAAACAATAATATAGTTCTATTTATTTTTGTGACTTTCGAAGAATAAAGTATGTAATGTACAATTGGACAACCACAAAACAAAAAGGGATTGATTTAAAATTTGTATATTTACGGAAGCTCGATGTAGATGTAAAAATAAAATTGTCAGTAGTGTAACCTTCATATTATAAAACCTGTGTAGGAAACAGATCGCGTCATTTAGTGTAATAAAACAATTAAACATATTTATTAACTGCACACTTGGCGCGGCGGCTGGATAACCGGCTGCCAAGCTATTGCCGGAATACTGAAACGTTACTCGATTTTAAGTCGCGCTTAAGTATAGTTCTGTCTCTACAAATTCTTTGTAAAATGACAGAGATAACACGATAACGAAACGTGATAGTATTCCAGCATATGTGTAGCAGATTTGATACCCGCACGGAGCAACTCTTTGTGTAAGCATATTGTTTTTCAGAGTCTGGTTGTAATGTATATGTGAATTTTTAAGTTTATAAATGCACCCGTGACATAATAACGATTTCAAAAAGAAAAATATTTCAAGTATATACATACATACAAAGATATCATTCCTTGAATAAGGTATAGCTAAAAAACCTATACTTATTGGAATACTGCCGAAGGCAATATGTTGAGTCAGTGACATGTGTACTATATTTTAGACATAACATCGGCATCGGAAATACAAATAAAATTATGAAAAAGGAACTGTGTATTTTCAAGCTTTAATATAATTCCTATGTAGGTACATAATATTAGTGTGGTTTGTTGTACATAAATAAGACGACATGGACATTGCAAAAACACTAACTGTGCACTTTTAGGCTAGTGTCGTAAACGAATGTAATATTTTTAAACATTTGCGCTTTCTGTTCTTTTTACTTTCCTTTCGATATCATCAGACATTTCGAATCGGCAATCTTGAGATGATAATATAATTATGTATATTGTATAGTGATAAAAACTACAATCTCATTGTCTACGCTATGATTAGATATGCATAACAATCGTATTAGAAATGTGAAAGTGTAGTTGTTACGTGTTTCCAATAAGACTACTGATTTTAATGATTTTTGGTACAATACATACATAGTTACATACAAAGCTAACCGTTGTTGCTTAGGCGCTTTTAGCACAAGCACACAAGCAAATTCAAGTATTAACATTATGGATGTCATATTGTAATTTGGTTTCAGATTTAGACTTACTACCTACTGGCTTTTTGAATAAGATCTGTGTGAAATTTTACCATGACTATAAATGTTGTGGTATGAATTGCATATCTTTAAATCAAAAACTATCATAAAGTATAAACATATAAAACTTTATTGTATAAATCGTTACAATCGGCCTTACATTACTACCTACAATTAGGTATATATTTTTTAATGTTCACTTATAATTATATGTTATCTCCACCATCTGTTCAAGTTTTTATTTTATGAAACTAATAGACCATTATATAATCCTATTATTGGTCGATCAATTCGGCGGTTAAAGTTTTGTAACTTTATGTAAACGGTTAAATAAGTATAATTAATTTTTCACCAAAGAAACAATACCGACCTTTATAGATGGATAATAAAATATAAATAATACAATAATATTCCTTCACCTTGTAAATATTGAATGAGTATATTGAGTATATAGGTATAACTGGGCTACTCCCTAGAGTAGGTCATGTCCTAGTCTACAGTTTGGAAGGAACATTCTTCAAGAGAACATCATGCATTTCTTGGAGAGTTTGTTCCAAAGCATTCCTGTATTTATTACAATCGGTGTCCGGATGTTCGACAAATGCGGCAGTAGCGAAGTTTATATCATTGTCTCTAGGGTTGTAACAGGTTGCATACCCATCAGCCACTAATGGCCCGTAACACATAAATCCATCACACTTACAAGCCACCTGGAAAGAATGGATTTTGTTACACATAATAGCAACTATAGATTCGGTCAGTCTGGTAGCTTACAGTGGTTCTATTTCATAAAAAAACAGTAATTATAATAATCAATTAAATTATCGTTTTCAATGTCAGTTATGCATTTATTTCATTATGTATTTGTATCAAATACCTGGCACCTTAGTGCCTCCTATAATAATGTTATTGCTACAATAATTTTGCAGTAAATGTTACCTGACTAGTAGAAATCCTCATATGTGCACTTCTTGTAAATCCAGCATCAGAATATAATTTTGGTATTTCAATGCCATTTTCGATAGCACTTAATTTTAAACCAAGTAAATGTCTATCAACACCTAATCCTTGTAGTGCCTGAAAGATGTACAGTGACTATAATGCTCTTTTTATTTATATTAGATAGTACATATATTATTGTATTGAGTGCCTCGTTGGCTGAGTGGTCGCAAGTACGACTGGGCAAGGGGAGTGGGATTCCCAGATCTGGCAAAGCGTTACTGGGTTTTTGAAAATTCTCAGAGGTAGCACAGAGTCTGGAATTACATAGGATTACATGAGAAATTACATGGGACTCATAACATAAAATAGTGAAAAGTGGGTGTTACATGATACAGTGGCATTAAGTGCCATAATGTGCACCTCTGCCTACCCCATCTGGGAAGAAAGGCGTGATGTTATGTTATATATTTATGTATGATTTTTACCTGAACTGTATAGTTTTTATGAGAATTTATAGCGCTCTTCAATGCAGATATTTTATCTTTTGGACTACTTTGTGAATTTAACATTGTTTTTGCAAATTCTATTGATTCGATTGAGCACGATCGTATTGTTTCTGTGCGTCCGCCAACATACATTCTTGTAGCTGCAGACTCGTAATGGGCTCCAGGTACGTTGTGTAACCTTAAAAATATTTGAGATAAGAAGGTAGTTTACGATAAGTACACATAAAGAACTGGTTCATTATAAGACTGCTTATTGTATATGAAAAAATAGTATCGGTTAAGCACTTAAAAAAGCTATTTTCCTGTTTTTACTTGATAGAATTTTTTGCGCCACTAGACACACAGGGACTTAACAGGGGTAATTATTTATTTATCAACAGAGTATTAACAAATATTTACCCCCAGTTTCACAAATACTTATCAAATCAATTTACAACTAAAGGTCATCGCACATCTAATAAGCACACCTCCAACACAGCAATTAAGTTGACATGTGTCATTTAAATATGAACTTTAGATCGTATGTCGTATGATATATTTTTCAATACAAAAAGCCGACAGCGAATGGTCAACACGCGGTCCAGTAAAGGTGCCCGCGAGCCGACAGCGCGGCGTCGGCAAGTTGACGGCGAACCGCCCGCCAGGCGCCAGCGAAACAGCGTTCGCAAATTTGAAACAATGCCGCGCCGGAGCCGTGCTTTTTACATGTGCGACGAACAACACATGCGGCAGGTATCAAGTCAAACTGGACGTCATCGCTCGAAATGCTGACACCAAGTATTCCAATACCGGCTGAGGTAGTTAGGGTGCTTTGAAACTTAGGAGAGACGACCAACGGCAGTTTCTTAGCTGTAAACACGATGTCTTAGTAGGGTTAAACTGGACCAAATTAAGTCCACCCCAATCAGATATTCTCCCTAAAGAGGTCTCGATTTCAGACACGAGTTTGTTTCGGCTCTCTATGACGTTTTCCCAATAAATGTTAGCGCGGCCGGTGTAGTAGGCATCGCCTGTGCTGTCATCCGCATAACAATGAATACCGCTGATTTGCAGCATGTCATTGATATGAAGGAGGAACAATGTAGACGATAGCACGCAGCTTTGAGGGACGGCTGCGTTAACAGACAGCAAGTCAGAGCATTCACAGTCGACAACAACCTTAATTCTTTTGTCTGCAAGGAAGCACGAGACCCATTCGCATAATTTCTCGGGAAACCCATTTTTTTTAACGGAGTATAAAAATACCCCGTTCCTACTCCCGCACTTCAAACCGGAGCCCCGGTAACCCGTAAGGTTCTCCGCGGCTCCGTATCGGTATCAGCCCTTTTGGGCCCCATACGTGGTGTTCTGGTGGCTCTTTGCGGCGCATGCTCGCCGTCCGCAGGCCCGCGCTTACGGTGGACGGCGATCGTCCAGCGAACCCCGACGTCCGGAGTGTCCTTCGCGACGGCTGGGTTATGAGGAGGCAACACTTCGCTGCCTTATGCGCCCTGCCTCCTCCTTAGCTAGCATGACTGCTTCGCAAAATCGCAGATCACGTCCCTGAGGGCACAGCGGTGCTCGGGAAGTCCATAGGAAGGAAGCTTCGAAAGAAGCGCTCTACGCCAAACCCGATCGAAGGCCTTCACCACGTCCAAACATACTGCCAACGCTTCCCCCTTAGACCCGATCGCCTGTGCCCACCGGTGCGTTAGGTAAATTAGAAGATCACCTAGAAGGTTACTGAGCAGCTGATGATCCTCTAAGTAACGCAGGAGCTGGGGCAGTTCCTTCTGGTTGCTTGGTTGGTATTGCAGAATGCAGACCTTTGTAGGTTAGATGTAGAAAATAAATTAATTCGTTTAAAAATCCTCCTCAGTGTCCTCATTGTCAGCCCAAACTAGATATGTTTAGGGTACTAGAAGATAGTCCAAGGTTCCATAGTAAACCAGGTCGATTGTACCATAATGTTGTATGGTGATCTAATTTACATAATTATGATTGCTAAGTTTCATGATACAACAATTAGAAGTTCATGTAATTCAGATTCTTGGATTTTATTAATAATAAAGCGTGTTAAAATACCTATAGAAGGCGAGCTGCATGGCCATCTGTATATAGCTATCTGGACTTAACTTCTGCGACTTGATAAAATTTTTCCCATATTTGTCATACTGGAAGCAATTCAATTGAAGATTTTGGACTAATCTGAAAATAAATATTAATGTGTCTTAGACATACAACATTTCACATACACAACAAACATAGGGGCATTTGAATCCTACATACATATCTAAGATGATGAAGTTAAGATAATATTATTGGACACATACAGTACACTACATACTATTACACACATACACTACGTACTCCCGCGCCATTCCACCCGCACCCGAGCAGCGGGTGGATCCGCGCACGAGTAGGTAGCTAATATATGAAAAAATCAAAGAACAATTAACCACTAACTTGTCTAAATTCTTCTTGGCATCTTCTATCATGTTATTAACTTCTGAGCTTACGTTGAATTTCAATAATTTTGGTTGTTTAGGACTTTTTGACGATCCTTCGGGAGCTTTATTTTCTTCTCTGAAATAATTTGTTATCATTAAGCACTCAATTTATGTGGAAAAATAAAAGAGTAGGTCGGTATGTACTAAGATATAAACTTACATATATTTAATAATGAAATCTGTTAAAATAGCGATTGGTTGGCCTTCTGCAGGAGAATGTTCGTATGTAAGACCTGTTACACCATCCGCGCCCACAATGAACTGAAAAATAGTAATAGTGCAAAGACAATTAATAATGTGAAATAAGTAGAAGCTAGTTGCCTTTTTTGAGGGTGGAAACAATTATGCAATGGTTTTTACCGTCTTGAGTTAGGCGAGTGGGAATGTCAAATGTAAAATATACTTACTTGTATAGTCTTATCAAACCAACGGTTGCCACCGTTACGTTGTGACCCTCCACCATGTATGGTCTGTGCTCCTGCCAAGTTTCGACGGGCGTTCGAATCTTCATACTTCCAAAGGTCGACAGCTCCATCCAAACACATAACAACAATACTTCTCTCAACATCTGCTAAAGATTCACTATTTGTTTTGTCTGGAATAATAAGTATACTAGTTACTAAAAAAAATTAAAAACATGCTTCAAACTAAAAACGAAAATCATAATTATTTCCTTATCATCAAAAGAACTGGATAAAATGTTATTAGGTAATAAGAACTCGAAATCTCAACTAGCAGGTAGCCCAAAGTGTCATCAGCCACCTTTCCATTCCTTATCAAATCAGCTCAATGGTCATGGTCATACCATAATGTATGGTCATCTAATTGACATATTATTACTAATTTTACAAGTGTGCACAATTCAGATTCTTTTTAAAATTTATTACATATCGACCTAATAAATACAGTGTTATAATTAAAATAAATTTAATTCTGAAGGAGCTTTACCTTTAGCTAGAAGATCATAAGCCTTCGCCCATGTGTCACGATTTTCAGATGTAAGAATACCTATACCCTGATTATTAGGAACACTCGATAGTTCAATTACTTTTTTTAATTGCTGAACTATCTGTTCTTCATTCAGCATTACTCCGTCGTCACCCCAGAGATCGACGTGGAAAATCTAAAATATATTATCGTTATAATATTATGCATGGTAACAAGGCTATAACTACAGCACAGGTGTCAACTAGTGGCGGATTAAACCTAGAGAGCGCCCAAAGCAAGCATAGGCGCCCCTAATATTCTCTTTGATAGGTTGCTTTCGTATTCCGTGTTTCTGGGTTTTTGGACATTCGCATTTGCTATTTCTGTTCGCAATGTTGCGATTTGCGAATATGAAGGTCAGGTATCTGGTAGCCAGTAGCAGCGCGACAGGCGCCGCATCGGTCACGCAACGCTGCTCATGAAATTATGAGCCTCTAGCATGATTTGAAACAAGTAGTGTCTTCGTCGTCAAATAATTACGTGAATAAGCCGAAAAATATTATAATTAATTAAGTATGTCTCATGAAAGTTATAACATAAAAATATGAATGCATATAAATGTAAATATTTTTTTAAATTACAAAATGACTCATTACCTACTTCAAAAAAAGGAGGAGGTACTATGTTCGGCTGATTGTTTTTTTTTCTGTTTGTTCGCCGATTACTCCGCCATTTGTAAACGGATTACCAAAATGTTTGTTTTGTTTTAAAGGGTATTATTATACTCCCGAGATTGCCCCATTTCCATGAGGTCAGGTTAAATTGTAGGGGCGAGTAATACGTCTAATATGTTTTTCAATTAGGATTTTTAAACACTACAATTTGATAAGGGTTTGTAGGTGACCTGATGATGGAGCCGACAGACAGTCGACAGAACTCAACGGTTTATATTAACTACCTTGTGTTAGGGCTTGATTAATTTGTATTGATGAGATCTTTACATCTAGATAGAGTGGGACTGTCATTAGGGGTCTGATGATGAAGAAGTGTAATTGCTCAACGGTATACAATAGCTACCTTGTGTTTGGGCTTGATTAATTTGTATTGATTAGAACTTTACACCTATTTAGATTTTAAGTGACAAAACGGATCTACGTAGCTTTACACTGAAAATGATAAATTAATAAAATAAAAACTGCGTTTAAAAAACCGACTTCAAAAAACCAAAAACTAATAACAAACAAAAAGTCAAAACTAAAAAGCAAAAAATAACTACATATTATTAGTATCGATAGGTTACCCACACACTGATAGATTAGAAGTTATTAGGAGTCGGTGCCAAAAACTCAGATCATAATCATATAACTTAATGGCCACAAAATTGTCGAGTTCTTACCTATCAGTGGGTGGGTAACCTATCAATACTAAACAGTTATTTTTTGCTTTTTAGTTTTGACTTTTTGTTTTTTATTAGTTTTTGGTTTTTTGAAGTCGGTTTTTTAAACGCAGTTTTTATTTTATTATTTAAAATAGAGGAACAGGTATAAACTTTTATATTTACTACAAGATTTATCTTTGGATTAAACTGTCTTGCAATCATAACATCGTAATTTTTGGTGATCATTTTGGTATAATATTAACTTTTCGTTGCAATTTATCAAATGAAGTTGAAATTTTTAGGTACTTATATAGAAGTCACCGTGTGTGCATCATAAATTATTTTGGATCAAAGCTCACCAGCTATTTGTAACAGTTTAAGTAACTTATTGTTCAAAGATGGTTTAATTAACTGCCTCGTTGGCCGAGTGATCGCAAGTGCGACTGCCGGGCAAGGGGTCTCGGGTTCGATTCCCGGGTCGGGCAGAGTACTACCGGGTTTTTAAAATACTCAGTAGTAGCACGGTGTCTGGAATTGTGCCCAGTATATGGCAATAGGCTCATCCCCTATTACATGGGACTCATGCCATAACATAAATAGTAAAAAGTAGGTGTTACATTGTACAGTGGCATTAAGTGCCGTAATGTGCACCTCTGCCTACCCCTTCGGGGATAAAATGCGTGATGTTATGTTATGGTTTAATTAAAGTAAAGTTAAAAATAAAGCCACTGACAATTTGGTCTTCATTCTCAAGTCAATATTCGCATTCGTGAACAGATATAACGTCGGCAGATATTCGCATTCGAGAAGTTCTAAAAAATTACATTCCTTAAATCGTTACACTACTTCGTCACTATTCTGTTGAGTAATGAGTAACGTGTTATGATAAACGTGTCGAAATAAATTCTATTAATGCATCTAAACCAGATACGAAAAAATGTAGGAAGTACCTACCTATAGCGAGTGTAAATTAATTTTTCAACAAGGTCAACAGCATTATCATCATCCATGAAAGGTTAACAACTATCTATCACTGGCTGTGCCGGTCGCCACCGCAACACAGGTTCGTGTAGATACCTAATTAATTAAAAATAGACTATAGGACCCTGATCCAACTACCGTATTATTTGTAGGAAAAAATGTTCATTAAACATTGTTATGCTAATTTAATTCCGAAATTAGTAAACTATTTTTTTCATACAAGAGCTTACTAAAAGTACCCACATCATTTTAGATTAATGAAGATTGATTAATAAAATGTAGAATAATTTTGGGATTATTCTTAATTTCTAGACTCAAGAGGATTTTATTTAAGATCCAATCTTAGTGAAAAAAAAAGTTATTTGCCGCTTTTAATAATATTACCCACGTTCTTAGATCTGATCTTATTCTTTATACTATTACTAGATTTGCCCGCGACTTCGTTCTCGTGGAATAATAATTCACAGCTCCTCCCCCGTAGATGATAGCGTGATAATATTTAGCCTATATGACCCAACCTATTAGTAATGTTCATGCAAAATTTGAAGTAAATCCATGCCGTACTTTTTGAGTTCATCCCGGACATTCATACAGACAAACAGACGAAAATTCTAAAAACCATATTTTTGGCTTCGGTGTCGATTATAGATCACGCCAAAAAAAAATTCAATGTACAGTTTTCACTTTCCAACGATTTTATTATACCTATGTATAGATATAAAGCTGAAGTTTGTTGTTTATGTTTATTTGTTTGAACGCGCTAATCTCAGGAACTACCGGTCTGAGTTAAAAAAAAAATATTTTTGTGTTGGAGAGTCAATTTATCGAAGAAGGCTATAAAACATCACACTACGATCGATAGGCGCTCAGCAGCAGCAGGTGAAACCGCGCGGAAGTAGCTATTTGAAAACGTGTTTAATATGTGGGGGCAAATTATGTAAGTAGGTGGTACTTTAATTAATTAATTTAATAATTAATAAAGCCTTTTATTCAGATAACCAAAAACACAATAAGTTACAAAAAAATTAATATCACTCACGAATTTGGTCTTTACTAAGTTTTTGCAGATCCGTTTGCCAGTTGGCATAGGACTCCTTTAACCTTCTCCATTCTGACCTTTCAAAACATTCCACAAGTAGCTGGAAATCCAGCTACTTGTGGAATGTCCTCATCCCATCTTTTATTAGGTCTTCCTCTCAATGTATGACCTTCTCTTGGGTACCACTGAGTAACAATTTGGCTCCTTTTTTCTTTGCCTCTTATCAAGTGACCTGCCCATTTCCACTTTAATCTCTTTATTTTTAAAGTTACCGTTTGTACCTTGGTTTTGTGTCTGATGGATTTTTTCTTTATTCTGTCTGCTTTCTTTACACCTAACATGCTTCTTTCCATCGCATGTTGACATGTGGCGAGGTTTGTGGTCGTATTTTTTGATAATGGCCAAGTTTGGGAACCATAAGTCAGTACAGGTAAGATGCACATGTTAAATAGTTTAATTTTTGTTGCTATGTGTAGTTTGTTATCTTTCATTACCTCCTTCAAGCCCCAGTATCTCTTCCAGCTGTTTGCTACTCTTCTTTCAATTTCTTTATTAACTGTGTCTTTGGGTGACACCAATTGTCCATTATGGTTCTTTTTTCTCCATTTGTCATTACGAAAGATTTAGTCATTACAAATTAAAAAAAAAACAAAAGTAAAGATGGTACTTACCTACCGATTAATCAAACACAATACTTTCACTAGGATTACACATTTTGAGTCTTAGTGAACTTCTAAACGGCCGAGACGACATAAGTGTGGGAGAAACATTAAAATGTACTGGTTCGACCAGAGCGATGGCCTCATCGAAAACCGACGTGAAACAACGCTCTGACGTCGGAATAAGATTACCGGAAGCCCAATTACCCTTCAACCCCTTCCTTATCTCTCCAATCCCCGAAACCCCAACAATCCCCAAAATGCTGGTAACGCACTTGTAACGCCTCTGGTGTTTCGGGTCTCCATGGGCGGCGCCAATTGCTTACCATCAGGTGATCTGTCTGCTAGTATACCAAAATATCCCATAAAAAGGTGCCCTGTATCAATCACCTATTTATTATTAAATACGTTTATTACTCTATTATAGACCTTATATTCTTATGCATGCAGTGATAGGAGCGATTAGATGGTATCTACTTACATACTATTGCCATAAATTAATTAATAAGTAACATATCATTAAATTTCCTTGCACTGTTGATTCAAATCATTATCAACTATTTTGCATGCTTATTTGCCTTTGCCGACACCTAAGATTTCTGAATCAATCTCCTCGCTGACATAGTAAAATGTAAAAATCATTGACTGGTTTTAGTAGATAAATTATGAGTCTTACATGGTTGTTATGGATGATGGTGACATGCTTACTGTTATTAAAAGATAACTTGTCTCGTTTTGCATATGGAATTCTGCAGGTTCCAAATACTTTTTTATATTGGGCCATATCCAGAGGATTCTTACCCATCATCTCAACAGGTATTTTGTCACTGAAAATAAAAATATTGGATACCTTATACTGGTAATGGTTACACTGGTCAAGTAGGCAGGGGAGTACAATCTGTACTGCAGTAAATATCAATAAATAATACTTAATATGTGATTGGAAAGACCTTCTTCAACAAGTGTCTTCAATTATAATTTAGTAGGTAAATCTGATTTCATTGGAAACTAGGTTGTGGTTAGGTTTTTGTTATGTATCAAAAACACTAAAGATGATATTGAAATTGGTAAATATTTCACAGTCCAAATTGAATAATTTATTGTGGTAAGTAAATATATGTTAATAATAGAAAACTCACTTATCTATTAAGCTCTTGTAACTTAAAGCAGCCAACAAAGTCTTAGCAGCATACACCAATTGGTCATTTTGAGTTTGAAACTTCCTAAATGGGAAAACAAGTCCAGGGCTGGAATACACAACAACTGGGTCACGGTATTCTAGGTAAGCAGTATTCAGCCACCAATCTTCAAGCCAATTCAGATGTTCCTGCGCCCTCTTCTCTAACAAAACCTAAAAATAAAATTGAAATTAATTTATGTTTGCGAACAGATTACAAAGTAACACTTAAATTATAAACTAAATGGGGCCAGCATTTCCAGTCTAGGAAGAAATATCACTACATACTTACAGGTCATAAATTTCTTTCAAAGTATAAACAAATAATCAATGAAATGGAAGAACATTGCAAGTTGGTTCTGTAAGTGGTCTCTGGAGGAAAGAACCACAGCAGTTTCAGCAAACCTGTTCGGCTGGACATACAATCAGCTCAACTAACAGATGTGGCAGAATAATCTGAACATTTGGATGGGTCGGGTTATTTAAATTTAATATGTATGTATGAGTTACCCAACTTAGGTAATTATCATTCTAGATCTAAAAACAAATATTGTAAAGAAGTAATAATGGAGAAAAACTAGCGATATTATTTTTAATAAAAATGAATAATAAAATACCTGTAACTGCTGTCCTGTTCCTTTTTCAAAGTCTCTTACAAGAGCTGTAGTTCTTGCATACTCTTCGTCACTTAAAAAAGGCCTTACGGTAAGTAAATACTTCTTTAATGTGTCAGCAAGTTTTGGTACAGGTAATGATGGTAGTTTTTGTACATTTCTATTTGTTTTGGCAGAGGTGTAATTACAAGATAACTGCATGGAGGTCACATAGGGCTCTAAGATAAATCCTTTATGACCAAACTGAAATAAAAAAGATCAGATACTTTATCCTTAGTACAATAGGATATTACAATAGTATAACACATTATTATTGGGCAAGAAAAGACATTCAGTTTTTGATGATACCTCTAAAAAGGTTCAGAGATATTAAAGTTATTATACATACCACTCTACTAAACCCACGCAACATTCTGGTATTTTCCTGAAATTAAAATATATATATATATTATATATAATGACTATCAATCGCGATCTTTCTATAAAAAAATTTACGTAAGTCAATAAAAAGTACTAGAAGAACCCACAGTAAATCCCCATACAATACAATACAGAATTGAAATTTAGTAACACTTAAAACAATATTTTACAAAGAAAACAAATGAGAATAAAATTCTCCAACTAGACCTGGTGAATAACATTTTATAATAAAATAAATCACATTATCAAAACATAATTGGAGTATAGTACAAAAAATTCAAAGTTCAATAAATTGCCATAAAACTTACTTCGTAATCTTGATAGCGAGACACCTGTACTTTGACACTAGTCAACATCTGTGTAAGTATCTATTCTAATTCTACCAACCACTACAATATCGACATAAGTACCTACAAGCACACAGTAAAGAATAGAAATACTTTGCTACAAACAATAAGGCACAATTATTATACTTGTTACATTAGCTTGGTAAAATGAAAAATGAACCTTCTACTTAGACTATCGCAGTAAAACTGCCATGAACTACTACGTGTACTGTGTTTAAAAGATACGGTATCCACCGTATCGTACTTTGTACCAGTGCTGCAGTTTAAGTTAAATTAATGTTAAGGATAATGCAAAAAAGTTCCTTGGGATAATTTCATTACAGCAGTACAAAATTCAAACTCGATAAAAATATTAAAAATGTTATATACTAACATTTAGCTCTTACGATTTATACTATAAGGCTTATTTTGCAAGAATTGAAATTGTTAGGATACTACCCTATATAATATCTTACTCTATGGTTGATACTTTCGAACCAAAGACTAAAAAAGTAATGAAGTAGGTAGTGTTTAAACTTTCGAAACCATTCAAACCACATTCAAACAGTCCAGAGTATCACAGACTACTTAGAGATACTGAAAGAGTATAATATTAAGTACGTTATCTATGGGAAAGTAAGTAAGTCCCTTTCTATAAGTTTCTTTGGTCTCTCCTGGGTGACATTACGTGAGAACGTCACATAATTTGTCATCCATTTTACGCTCGTCTTATTTTGTAGAATATATAAAATAAATAATAGCAATAATTGATACAAAAGGACATGACGCCTTTTATCCCCGAACCGTAATGTGCACCTCTGCTTACCCCAGATAGAGCTGTCATTACGACACTTACTGCCATTGTACAATGAAACACCCACTTTTCACTATTTATGTTATGAGTGTCATGTAATAAGGGGTAAGCTTGAGATTTAAAAAAAAAACAGTAAAACTTTGCCCGACCCGGGAATCGAATCCGAGACCCTTTGCCCGGCAGTCGTATTTGCGACCACTCGGCCAACGAGATAGTAATTAACTTGAGTTGTTAAATAAATATAAATTTATTTAGATTTCATTACAAAATATAATTTCGCTTTCTAGTTGACGTAAAAAGTATAACAATAAAAATTGTAAAATATTGGCATTAATACCACAGAGGTTGATGCATGACTTGGATCGACACAATAATATTTTAAAAATGAAACAATGTTTTAGATTAATTCAAAATTGGTCAAAAAGCATTAAAATAATATTTAATTACGCCTTTACCGGACATTCATATGAAAAATCTACAGCAATAGTTTTTAGTTAAATACATTTTTTATTTAAATTATAATGTATTAAAGTATAATAAATTTAAATAACAAAGTAGTACGAAATTATTAGTAAGATGGGCCTGCGCATTATAAGAAAAGTTAGTAGGTACATTATAATTTTGAAAATCATTATTATGTTAAATACAAATTATTATTATTATTTTAACATTAAATATTAAATACAATTATTATCCGAACTCCACTTTACTAATTTCTAATCCTGAGAACCTTCTCTCCTAAATATTTAATAGGTATATAGTTCAATGTTATATGAAAATTATTAAAGTTCTATATTTAATACTATTTAGGATTAAATCATTGGGATTAATTCTAAAACATTAGTAATTTTAAGTAGGAAAAATATAGGTACTTATAAAACTAAACTTAATCTCTTTTACTCATTTTGAATAAATCGTTTCATTTTGCGTCCCTAAACAATTCATCGATATTTTTACACGATTAAGATGAGATTAATATAATATCATTGAATTGTAATCTAACAGATTGAAAAGTAATACACACAAAAAAAACGTGGCTACCTAGAAGCTTCCCTTGTGCTTTGTAATGGAGGATTAAACTAGGGATGTGACTTTTAGGGCAGTAGAGAATTATCGATATTTTGGATTATTGGTTCTAATACTATTATCATCTATAAAAAAAACTCATCATATATATATATATATATATGATGAGTTTTTTTTGTTTGTTTGAACGCGCTAATCTCCGTAACTACAAGTCTGATTTGAATAATTATTTTTGTGTTCGATAGCGCATTTATCGAGGATGGCTATAGGCTATAAAACATTACGCTACGACCAATAGGAGCTGAGCAGAATGTGTGAAACCGCGCGGAAGTAGCTAGTTGGTTCTAATTGACTTTACGATAAAAGTTCATTATTTTACCACATATTTATATAGCTTTGCTTTTTAACTAGCCGTCCGCATATTCGTTCGGGTGAAATTGGTTTCCTGTGGAAATTTTGGGATTCGAAATATCTGATAATAAAATGTCTCGAATTACATTATTCCAAATATCACACAACATACAACGCAATTTCTCAATTTCTCGGTATTTTGTCATTATGTTAAATCAACACATTTTCCATTACATAGTGTATAATAAAATAATGCATGACTGAGATAAAATTATCGTCATGGACTCAATTATTGCTACAACACTATTTTAAGCTTTGCAAGAAGATATGGACTAACAGTGACCTAAAATGTCAATTATTTTATAGGTATTTTGATGACGTCACAAAATTATTGCTAGAATGACAATGATGTGTTGTCTCTTTCTGTTTAGCCAAAGAGACGCAGGTAAAAAAGAAGCAACAGAATTTTTATATGAATTTACCGTCGATCTTAAATTCTACCCGTAGACAATAGTTCGACATCTATACAATAATTAAGTACCTACATATTTTTTTTCCGAGCGTACGGCGCGTCGCGTTCCACGTGCGCCTCAAAGAGAGCCATCAGACCACCACGGATGGCGCCCAATAGGGCTGATGCCGATACGGAGCCGCGGAGGACTTAATGGGTTACCGGGGCTCCGGTTCGAAGTGCAGGAGTAGGAACGGGGTGGTTTTTAGTCAGTAAGAATCTGACACTCCCTCCCGCCTCACCTAGGCGGGAGCAGACATTCGATGATTTTGACGGGCCCCGTGGTGGTCTGATGGCTCTGAGGCGCGCGCGGAACACGACGCCCCGTACGTTCGGGTCTGTTTTTCTTGTCGAAAAGGGAGCCACTTATGCTCGCCGTCCGCAGGCCTGCACTTACGTTGGCCGGAGATCGTCCCACGATCCCCGACGCACGGTGTGTCCTTCGCGATGGCTGGGTTGCGAGGATACAGCGCTTCGCTGCCTCACGCTTCCCGCCTCCTCCTTAGCTAGCATAACTAATTCGTAAAAGGAGGAGACGGCATCCCAGTCCCCCTCGCTCCGCATCATGACATGCACTAGGCCCGGTCGCGAGAGGTCGCCATCGCCGATCACTTCCCTGAGGGCACGGCGGTGATCAGCCGACGCAGGGCATTCCGCTGCAGTGTGTTCCACCGTGTCCTCAGGGCGGTCCTCGCAGTGATGACACTCGGGCGTTTCCTCCCGCCCCATCAGACACAGGTACCTCCCGAAACTTCCATGTCCGGTGAGGACCTGCGTCAGGCGATAGGTGGTTTAAGCTATGTATTATTGTAGAACAAATTTAAACTAATTCCTAAGAAGCCATGTACAAAATATGATGAGAATCCGCTTAACCATTTCAAAAATCTAGAAAAACCAAAAACGTTACCCCAGCAAAATCCCGAATAACTTCGCAACTGATGAAAGAACAAATATAAAATGAGGCACAACATTTACTTCATCTAGACAACAAATTTATAGCTAGTAATTATTTAAATATTCCCATTAGAAAGAAAAAGGTTTGGCTGGGGTAACGTTACCCCAGCAGGAAATGTTTATGTGAAATAATTAAAAAACTATAAGCGCAACAATTATAGAAGCTGCAAAACTAATTATCTCCAAGATTCAAATGACCATTTTCGACAACATCTGGCCTGGGTAACGCACACGGTTCGGCCAAGGCTTCTTTTTATCCCAAGGGAACGTAAAGCCGCTAGCAGCTTGTCGGAAATAACCACATTGCTTGCATGCTGTACGCGACAATAATTGGTCAATTTGATATAAGATTATTGAAATAAAATCAAAACAGTAAGGTTTTGTTAATTTTTGCTTAGGCACGTTTTGGGGGCCCGTATACTTCATACGGCGTCGCGGAGAACCTAACGGGTAACCGGGGCTCCGGCTCGACGTGCAGGAGAAGGAACGGGGTGGTTTTTAGTCAGTAAGAGTCTGACACTCCCTTCCGCCTCACCCAGGCGGGAGCAGTCATTCGATGATTTTCCCCCCTTAAAAAAAAAACTTCATACGGCACTAGCCACGCCTCTTTTTCAGTCCATAATCTACTCCTGTTCCAAGTTTTATCCCGATCGCTTCAGCCGTTTTGACATAAGTAATTGACTAACAAACAAACACACAAAAAGCCTCGCGTTTACTTATATAATACTAGCTTCTGCCCGCGACTTCGTACGCGTAATCCCATTTTTTCCCGTCCCCGTTCGTGATTTTCGGTAAAAAGTAAAAAAAAAATTTGGTCCTAAAGTATCCTATGTCGGTCTCCTGGCTCTAATCTACCTCCCTACCAATTTTCAGCCAGATCTATTCTGCCGTTCTTGAGTTATAAGTGGTGTAACTAACACGACTTTCTTTTATATATACATATAGATTAGCAAGCAGTAATCTTTAATTATAATACAAACTATAGTTTCATGGAGATTAACTGTAACAGCCCAAACATGTGAATATAGGTACAGTCATCCATTAAATCTCATTTACCTTTTATTTTCTAATGCAAGACATTCCAATCTTCTATTTTTGATATCTTTAGAATTTTCGATATCAGAATGCAATTGAGCCCTTCAAAATGAAATAAAAGGCAGCTGTAATTCATAATATGTATTGTTTTATTTTTCTCTAAATGATGACAATTACACAAGTTCCTTAAATCACGGTGTTACATTTGCCTACTTGGTACAATAATACAGCTGAATGTTACTTTGGAATGAAAACTAAATGCATATCTTTTAGTTCTATTAGAACATATTATGTCCCGATGATAACTACTAAAACCACTTTTTACCGAATAGTTATTTATTTATTTATTTATTTTAACTTCATGCAACAAAAGTACATAGGCGGGCTTAATGCCATGGGCATTCTTACTAGCCAACCTTTAGGTGATGCAGTTATATAGTTACATCACATATCTATATAGTTTAATTAAATAGTAATAAAATTACTACATGACAAGCTCTAGTCTCATGTTATTTTTGCTGGTTTTACATTATTAATAAATATATTAAAAGTATATGTTGCAAACAACAATTCAATCACATGTTGATGATATTATTATGATAAAAACAAATTGATTATAAACAATCATAAGTTTTGGCCAATTGAAACAAGTGTATTTATGCCATAAATCACATGTGTTGTGAAAATTGTTAATCTTATAAAAAAACCTAGTTATGCAAATTATTTTCACTAAATTTAAATAAGTAATAGTTTCATTAACAAAGGCAGTCCTATTTATTAATATCAAATAAAAATCTGAAATAAAATAATCCGGTAAAAGTAATGTTATTGGTAGTATTACCATGACATTTATTCTTAACTGACAGCTTTATAAAAGACAATAGTAACATGTTTTATATGTAAAGTAAATCTGAAAACAATTTACTTAAAAATTCCAACAATAGTATCTGTTTTGTAACTTTTGTGAGACATACTAAATAAATTATTATATTTTCGGCTTACTCATGTAATAATTTGACGAGGAACTCGGCTAGTGAATGAATATGAGCCTCTAGCATGGCTTGAAACCGAAGTGAGTAAGCCAAAAACATAATAATTTAAATAGTAGTTGTGTTGGAACACAAAATTATTAAGTGATCAACTGTGTGTAATCACCTAATTGCAGTGAATTATTGTTTCTAACATTGTGTCATAAATTATAAAAAATAATTTAAAATTTATGCAGTTTTTAAAACACTGACAAATAACACTGATTTTCACTACTAGTAATCTAAAATTTTAAACATCATCTAATGTAGGTAACCAAAATGCCATATTGGTGCAGGCAGAGGCCAGCATCATAAACTTGGGGTTAAATTGTACGCATTGTATAGGAGCAGGATGATCACCATTTAAAACACATACTTTATAGCCTGTATCAGCATTCCAAACATGAACTCTTCCATCAGTTGAGCCACTGAAGATATACTGTGAGTCAGGACTAAATGATGCTTCTATGGGTATTCCTTTATTATTAAGGTGACCTGTGAAGGTCTGCAAAGGTGTGCCATGATAAGCATCCACAAGTCGAATGATGGATCCATTTGTACTAACCAATATAGTTTTACCATCTCGTGAAAATTTTAATCCAGTCCAATCACATTCTTTTTCTTGATTCAACTTGAATGTAACAAAAGGGCCTTTATCAAAAGATCTCAAATCATAGAGTTTGATACTTTCTGAATTAACTCCTGCAGCAAATATAAGGCCTTCTGGGTCATAAGCTGCTACAGGTCTTCCTGACAAGTGCATTAAGCCTTGGCAATTAGGAGAGCGAAGATCCCACAAGCGCAATGTTTTGTCTAATGATCCGGACAGAAATACATCTTCAACTGGTGACAAACAAAGAGTGACAACTTTTTTGGTATGGCCAGGAAAGTATCTTATGTACTTGTTGTCGTGAAGTGACAAATATCTGATAGTATCATCAACCTTTGTTGAGCTGTGTATGGCAGTGTTCTTGGCATGTGTGAAATGTATTAGATCTACACCATATTTTTTACTGTTTACAGTGATTAACTGTGTGCCTTTTTCACAATCGTATATGACAATTTGATCATCTTCACTGCAGGATATTAATGTTTCACCAGTAGGAGAAAAGTCTATACTGTTTATTTTGTCTGTGTTTTCTCGAAACACTTTAGCCACTTTGAAACTTCGAACAACTGGGTCGATTAATTTCATCATTTGTAACTGATAATAAAGAAACGTTACTTTAAAAGACAATACAATTAAACTTTTAACAAACGCTCATACAAAAGAAAATATTTCGCTACAAAACACAAAAATGCTTCCTTCCTAGAGCCGCCGCCTCAAAATGTTGCAGTTCTAAACTTCTAATTTTTTATTGTGAAATTGACTTGTTCAAACTGAACCACAGTCTATATAAAAACAGAGAACACTGACGACGATAGATAAAGATAATTACATGCTCTGTGGACGATAGATTAATTATTAGCGACGCACACTACGCACAGATTATCCGCCCGCCTCTAGCGGCGAAATTTTTAGGAATGGTCTAAGAACGACACTTAACTTTTGAGTTAAGTTTGAAGTTTAAATTAAATATAATCAAATGGATCACGACTACATACAGATACCTGTTTTTAATAAAATCTGAAACACAAAATATTGTTGCGTTCCTCATGTAATACTTACGGAGATTCAGGAATAAGTTTTTATTTATTTCCAAAAGACAAAATTTTGAATCAAATACATTTTGTTCCTGTATGGAAAGAGGAAAGATCAGCTAGATTAGTGTCATAATTGTGTAACGTGTACTTCTTCATTTTGAATGAATGATTTTATTTTTATTATTATATAGCTGTAAAGCAATAAACTTTCTCAGATTTACTCGGTAGTAGTATTTATTTACTTTTACGGGTATTCATTCAATTGAACTTTTAGAAACATTAGTGACTTGTGTTAGTGAGTTGGCCTGAAATGCTCCAAAAAACTAAAAAATATTATCTTTGAGAGACAGAGCTATTTACAGTGGTAAAAATTAAACAAAATATGTCATTTAGGGCCATTAGTGTTTTGTTTAGTATAGGTAAATAGGCAGACATATTTTAACAATATGTGCCTCATGCTGAGTAGAGTACTTAAAGTTGTTATTCCTTGGCCTAATACCGAAATGATACGTAGTATCTTACCTAAATCATTCCAAAAATATAAAAATACAAGAATAATAGATATTAGACTGTGCTGAGACTGATTGAAAAATGTAAATGTTTAAAATGTAGAATATTGACGTGCTCTCAATATAAATAAACTATATAAAATGTATAATATTTATTAAGGCGAAGTTTAATATTGGAATAACTTCTTCTGGCCTAATAACAGAAATAAGTGCATCTTATGGTGGTCGAGCATCAGATAAACATAATATTGGAAATGTCTGGAACCTTATATAAATGCGACTTTAATGATGTAGTGACCATCACTTATAAACGGATAAAGGATACAGGATTAATTGAATTCGAGGGTAATGAAGTGAGATAAGGATATTAATTGAATAATTAGTATAACATTTGATTAATTTGACGCCTGTAAAAAGGATTGGCCACAGGAAGCTTTAAGAAGAGACGAGTGGAAGGAGTGTAGGGAAGTCTTTGCCCTGCAGTGGGACGACCATGGCTAAAAATAAAATAATAAACAAATTAATAATGTATAAGCAAGAAACCACATAAATCTGTTTTACATTTAATAAATATTTTTTCAACGACGTAAATTATAAGACGAAAACTGTCAGTGTCGTTCTTAGACAGTTTCACAATTTTGACACTAGAGGTGCTAGTTAGGATCTTTGCATCGCCAATAGGCGGACTACAATTTACTTTAAGGAAATCCCAGGATGTTGTCCTTGGCTTTGGCGTTTAGCCTTGGTTTTTAGATGCTTTGAATTTAGTGGATTATTCATAAATATTAATATTTTGGATTACGTAGCTACTATTAAGCGACCCATAAACGATCAAAATCGTTCGACAAACTTGTTTGATGAAATTCACATTTTCACCACACAACAGCACAGACGAACACATGTGCTTACGTGCATCATACAACTTTTCAAACAATTATCCAGAATCCAGTGCCAGTGGCCAGTGTGGTCAAGGTCAATTGTGTCACAGTCGTTTTTTTATATATAAACGCCTGTTTGAAGAGACTATGCCCATCTTTGATCGACGTCCTTGAGTAAAATAGAAAACACAAAATATATCTCATAAAAACAGTAGTAGTCAGACTTTTACGATAGTAAATTTTTTTAATAATTATTATCTTAAAATTTTCATATTTTTATGGATGAACAATGGAATTTTGATAAAATAAAATTAACATAACCACATACCATGGAATACAAATAACTACTAATAGTAATCGAAAAGATTTTTAATGTAGCAACATTTATGGAAAGCGCACATGTAAAAAAACTCATTTGGGAAACAAAATGGACGGTGTCTAAATGGCGTTTGTCGTATTTGTTAGTGATGTGAGTTATTATGCTTAGTTGGGCATTTAATCACAATAATACGGAGGACATACTGTGAAAGTTAATTTAGCCGTTATATTATACTTTAAACGGTGATCTTTCATTGAAAATTTTATGGACCTACATTTTTGGAGTATGGTATCCATTTTGTGATCAACTTGTTGTGTGGCGTTTATCGTAAGTATTGTCTACATTATTTCTCATAATATAATTCTGAGTATTTCATTATGTTTAATATAAAATAAAATCTGCTTCTTTGGGATAGCACGTTCTATGTGGGCAAAGGAATAACGATGATACATTACAAGTATTGTAACTACATAACAATCTATCGTACCTATGTGTTTTAGGTTTATGTAGTAAGTAGGTTTATATAAAATGATGGTGTCTTCTCAGTGTCGTCCTAGATATAAAATTATGCTTCTAGATAAGTACGATTATTTTAAATTAGTACTCATTGTAATCCTTGTATAAGCTCAATAATTTACGTCTTATATACCTATTAAATATGTAATTATTAAATTTTAAATGTCCTTTGCAATGATGGATTTGATTTTGATATAATATAATTACATATAAAAATAATTCATTTTGACCTGTCGATAGGCAGTAGATAATTGTTGTAGATTGTTTACTAATTTTATAGACATGAAGTGTATTTTTAAGTTATTTTTATTGATTACAATCTTAAAAATGTTCAGTTGTAGTTTAAAACAAGTTCATAATATATTAACTAATGCATTATATACAAGCCATTGGAGGAGCCTGTGTCCAACAGTGGATGGGAATGGGCTCATGATGGTGATGAAGAAAATATAGGTACTTTCTTTTGACTTGTTTCATTGTTCTGTTTTTTATTTAATTTTATATAAATTTTTCAGTAAATCACTGACAATTTATCTATATATTATATAAATAAATTGTTTAATGTTTTAAATAAATATTAAAATCGTAACAGTCCAGTAAAGGTCAATAAAAAGATAATGCTTCAGTTTCTGCTGAAAAGGTAATAGTATTAAACAATTTATCTGTAATGACATTTCTAAAAAAATTGGCAAACTAGGTGAATATTTTATTCCTAAAAGTTTTTAATAATTTAACTCTAGACAACTAGGTACTCTGGCGCAGTTTTAGCCTCTACTCGGCTCCATAAGTACACTATCCAACACAAAAATAATTATTCAAATCTGGTCATTTGTTTCAGAGATTAGCACATTCAAACAAACAAATAAAATCTCAGCTTTATTTATTAGTAGGTTTGGAGTATAGGTTAATGAGATGATGTAGAAAGCCTACTGTCAAATGGACTTACAACTTAGTCCTGACTTCTTGGTAATAGGGATTTTAGGGTATAAGGGTTCCTAACATTTGGGTATGGGAAACTTAAAAATGTGTGACTACATTATACTTTTTATTTTACAAAGATGTAGGCAGCAATGCACATATTTAATGTAATTTTATTCGATTTACACCAGTTACGTATTAGGTATGTAATAGGTGTTGCCTTTTCCTGGAATCCGTAACTCCAGGTTCGAGGGTACCACAAAGAATACTAGAAAACTAAAAACACTCAAATATACTTTGTTCACCCAGCGAGAACATACATATATCTTAGCTTCAATATTTATTGTGTTACACCCAAAACCTATCGAGCAATGAGTCAGTCAAATATAAAATGCAAATATTATATTATTATATAAAGAATTTTTTTTTTATATTTTGTACCATATGGTATAATAATTTACGACAGTTCTTAAAGGACATTATTTTTGAACACATGTATCATAGTCATAATCAGTTAAACAAGTCTTACAATCTTGTATAATATTTTTTTTCCATTATATTCATTACTAGCTTTTACCCGCGGCTTCGCTCGCGTCACAAAAGTATAAAAAGCCAATGTGTCATATGACACACATGACACATCTATACCAATATTTATGTTTTCCCTCGGGAATATCAAATTTTTCATGGATAAAAAATACCCTATTATTTAATCCGGACTTCTAACTTTACGTCTGCAAAATTTTAAAGCAATAGATTTAGTAGTTACGGCGTCAAAGTGGAACAAACAAACAAACTCACTTTCCGATTTATAATATAAAGTAAGGATTGATAAGCCTATAATCTAGGTATGAGTTTTTGGTGCAGATATTTTCTAAATACAAGTTTTATTTTTTATAACTAAACGTGATAGAAATTTAATAAAACATTGTACCTTTTGTATTAAGTTTATGACTTTTATTATAAAAATTATTAATTAAGTAGCTGTGATTTAGTTCGTCTACAATATGAATTTTAGAACAACATTTTTTGTTTCAATTTCCAAAACAAAAGTAGCCTAAGCTACTTCTTAGTCCATCACTATCGGCCAATAAGTCTTGTAAAATCGATCCAGCCATTCGAAAGATTAGCCAGTTCAAACAGACAGACAAAAATTGTAAAAAGTGTTATTTTGGTATGTATTTCGTATGTATATTCATATGTATGTAGTAAAAAGCGGTTATATTAATATTACAAACATATATTTCAATTTTATTTGTATACATGTATAAATATTGTTCTAACAATAACTTAATGGTTGCTATATTGAAAGTGTATGTTTTGTTAGTTTTCCTAAACAAATAAATAATAATATACTGTGGAACTGATACACAAAAAGTATTTCATGATAGGTATTTGACTAATTGATATT